AAAGTACACAATTTACTTTACTTTTCGGGACATTATATAAACTTACATTTATTAACTGGAGACTTACTCTTACCCTAACCTCAACCACTGACTTAAAAACCAATTGTCCCAATTAGACAAGCTGTCCCCAATTAACTTTAAATGTGTCCCCAAATGTAGCCTAACTCAGACTCTCTCTCTCTCCTCACACACACACACACACACACACACACACACACACACACACACACACACTTTGATTGTGTTTCCATCCTTCCTGTTGGTCCAGTGTGATCATGGATGTAGAGTCAGTAATCTCACCTTGTTCGCTGCTGTTGTCGCCGCTGTGAGACGTGTGTCCACCGCTGGACGGTCCCGGCGTCCCGGCCGATCGGATCGATGCTGCGTCGTCGTGATCTCTGCTCCATGAAATCTGCAGGGAGGAAGAAACAGATCAGATCAGGGACATCGAATGGAATAAAACTCAGCTTCATTCAGGTTGATGAACGAGTCCGCCTTTCTCATAGATCCAGTTCATGTCAGAGCTACAGACATTTGGGGAACAAATATCTTATGGTTATTTTGGAGTTAGATGAATTTTGAGCAGGTTATTTCGTGTGAGATGAGTTTTCTTGATAATTTAAGTTTTAATACAATTATATATTCTTTATTTTTAACAATTATACACACTTAATAGGCTTCTTTTTTGACCAATTCAGTGGTTTCTTATCATTGTAACTGTTCTAATGCATGTGTTTATCAGAGAGTGAGTAATGTAATGTTCCGGTCTTTAAAGTTTCCAATTTCATTTAATTGTATTTACAGAAATGTGAAAAAGCTGTGAAGCTTTGGCGACCTTTAGTTCCCAATGCCCAGGTTGGGAACCACTGGCCTATAGATCAAACCTCCTTCCATCACCTTCACTTTCTGTGTTTATAATAACTTATAAGAACAATTAAAAGTCCCAAAGTTGGATCAGATCGCAGGGTTTCAACCCTAACCCTACAACAGAGCAATCAATACAATGTGTAGTTTGTCACTAATTAGAAACTTTTGTTGTTTCATTATCTGACTTTATACGTATATATGTCGAAATACAGGATGTTAATGTGCAACAGTTGCTGTACTTAAATAGTTAATTTCAACAGGGGACAACTTTGGGATGAGGGGATTCAAAATTGAAACTTTTATTACATAACACTTAACTCTAATCTAATTAGGGCTCTAATGAAACTGCTTGATTATCATCATTCTTACTTAAATTAATTGCATTTTTGTTGACAGGAACATGCTCTGAAAATTATTAAACGCAAAATTGTACGTGTCATTAGGGTCTCCCACATGGGCGTTGCAAAATTGCTCCACAGCGCCCCCTAAAGACCCGCCCTAGTGACACATTTTACCACTACGTATGTAAAACGGTGCACACGTATAACATGTCCAGACGTACAAAAAAGCCTCTTGGACGCATCCCCCAAACCCAAAAGGAGGTCGGCCATTTTTTATTATTTTGTGGTCATTTTTGATAAAATGTATAAACATTTTGGGATTTCGGCGAAGGCCGTGTCTGTGGCGCAAAATTTTGATCTTTTGACAAGTAACAGGAAATTATTGTAACTTCCGTGTGTAGTCGGGTAACAGGAAGTAAGCCTTGTATGGCAATCGTCATCTGATTTATGGGAAACACAGTGGGGTCTACACATGTTATGCAACCGCGTCACGCCCCTGACAAGAGTGAACTGCGAGGGCCTGTTCGCCGCCGCTTCATCCTCATTGTCCCACCCTCACTGTTTGAGTGACAGGTGACCTGCGCAGAAACACCTCATCAATGTGCATTCAGTAACAAAAATGAAGACAAAAAAAAAAACAGGAGGATTATCAGTGTATCATCCGACCAAAAGGAGGCACTTGAAAATGAAACCAGAGCTTTTCGAGCTGCTGGTCATCCGACACTAAGCTGCTCGAGTTCACACTTCTAGGTGATTAAAGGGTTAAAGGCCTGACAAGTGGCTGCTGAGAGCTTCGCTGCGAGGCTGATTTAAAACCTGCTCTGCTGGCTCGGAAAACAGACAAAACCTGACTTTTCACCTCTATTATTTCTGCTTCTCTGGGAAAAGAGAAAAGTCTTCATGAGTCCAAGAGAAGAAGAGAAAAAAGATCTGTGTATTTGTGTGAAATCTGTGGTCACAGCAGTTTAAAACTGACTTGTTTCCAACAGCAGATGTGACTCCTGCAGCTGGATGATCAAATCTATCTGCTCATAATCTATTTTCTGTTTATGGGGATTTCAACAGAGGTGGCAAAAGTACACACAGACTTCACTGAAGTAGAAGTACAGATACTCTGGTAAAGGTACTGATTCTTTACTCAAGTATAAAAGTCAAAATCCGTCTCTTGGTTTCTCTGAAGGACATCACTAACGGCTGTTTCTGTGTTTCATTATGTCTTTAATGTAGTTTCTGTAATGTTATGTCTGTCCATGTGATAAGCACCGGTCTTGACGTTGGGAAGACATGCAATTCCCCTCAAATGTGAAAATGTAAGGAATAAAAGTAAAAAGTTGTCCGAGTAAAGTACAGATACCTGAAAAATCTACTTAAGTACAGTATTGATGTATTTGTACTTTGTTATTTCTCACCTCTGGATTTCAACATTTCAGTTTTGTTTAATAAAGCCTGCAGAGCGACTTCCACTGCAGCCAAAACTGTGATAATATGATTTCACAAAATAATCTTAAAGGTCCAGTGTGTGTAAAACGTAGGAGTAAATGAGACGAACCCTCAACGGTAGACTCACGAAAGTCTGAATAATAAAATAGGTCAGGTATTTCTGACTTTTAAATCTTTGGAGTCAGACAATAACACAACATCTGTAACTTCTTTTGAAAATTGTAGATACAATAGAAGAAGTAATAGAGTAAGACAAAAGTTGATTAAGAGCAGTCAGCTGTGTATCGGGGCCAGAGCCAGACGTTGGAAACACTCTGGGTTTACCCGGCACGGCTTTATGACATTGTGTCTGAGAGTGTGCTGCCTGCCTGACGTTGTTTACTTGTGTATTTTATCTTTAAAACGGAAACAAAACGGTTTATTTCTCCACTTCAAAACTCCTCAGACTGACTGACTTCTGGTCTGGTGCCACAATGTTGATGTAGCATGAAATTCAAGTCTGCACGCTGTATTTTATTTTGAAAATTGAACGGATTCTCTATACTGTTTCTGTGTCTGACTTCCTTCCTTTGTGACCTGCTCTGTGCTGCTTGATACAAGAGGGACGCTATCATCTCCGGACCCGCAGTCGGACCGCGTTGTGGCAATGCCTGGTGGAATTTGAACCTGGGGGTCTACAACTCCTGGGGAGACCTTTTCCCATTTATAGTAGAGATAAGGCAACGCCCAAAACTCTGTACATTATTTGGGAAAAACATGAAAAGTTTCCCAGTTCAAAAAAATAATTCCGTAGAGCACTTCATCCTATTTTGTATCTAATTGCTCTCAAACTGTCTTCATCATATTGAAAACATACCACAAACATTTTTCAGAATTATTCATTTTCACCTTGTTTTCATGCACAAATGCTAGAAAGTAAATAATGTTATGGGTTATGTGCATTTAAATGGAGCGGCTGGTAGCTCATTCAAACTTGCTCACGTCTGAGGGGATTCACATTATGCAGCCGGTAAACTAACTCCTTCAAACTTCTCTGGTTTTGTTCTCTGTTTTTGGCTTTATTGCTGAAACACGTATTACCGATGACAGAAATAGTCTACTGTCATCAGAAAAGGAGGGGTGGAGTTTGGATTAAAGAGCAGCAGATTTTGAGACTCGGCCAGATCAGCCGGACCAGCCCACCACGGCGGTGCTGTGGTCGCCCCAAGAGAAGAGGAAGAGAGTCGGATATGAGCCATGTAGGCCCAGCTTGGACTTATGGCTGCTCCCAGTTAATGTCCAAAATAATGATGAAGAAATTACCTTGATTTCTTCAGTAGGGTTCACAGAATAAATGTTTAGCTTCGTTATGTCCTTCATTATATCCACAGCTGAAAGCTAGTAAGATAGCTAACTAGTTTAGCTTCGTTATGTCCTTCATTATATCCACAGCTGAAAGCTAGTAAGATAGCTAACTAGAAAACTTGCTCATTGAGGTGACACGACTGAATGAAACACGACACACATAAGACAACATCCCCTCATGACAATCGCTGGGTGGATATTCCCCCAGTAACAGAACTTTAGATCTGTTGACAGTCAGAGAGACTGAGGGGACATTTTAAAAACCTAAAAGATTCCTCGTTCCGCCCCTGCTGTGTATCCGTACTATCTAAAAGACTTGACACTGTGGGAACAAGCAGCAGAATATCTTTCAGTATCAGTTTCCAGGAAGTGACAGCGAGCTCACCTGATCCATGTTGTTCCCTGATGACCTAATGAAGTCCTCGCTGTCCGATTTGTTTCCGTCTCTGTCGTCTATAACCAGATCGATCGGCATTTTCCCCTTCAGACAGCTGATGTATCGATGACAGAAGTTATCACAAAGCTCATGAACCTGGAAATAAAATATGTATTTAACAAAACACAGCCAGTACTTTCAACAACAACAGAAAAGTTTCATAATGGACCAGAATTGCTTGTTAATAGTCACTGTAAACTATATATTTACATATATAGTTATAGGAACAGCAGCATAGGATATTAAAGGATCACAATGCTTTTTGTTCAGGGTTAAACTTGGATTAGCAGCACAGTGGATATCTTTGTTTTTATCTCATTACATTACATTAAGCAGCAGATGTTGGTTAAATTAAAGTCTGATCGATAAAAAGGTCAAAGGTCACTGAGACAAATCTGTTCTTTTCTGACCTTCTCCAGCTCCAAGAGGTGGAAGCGCAGCACTTGTATCGCCTGGATCATCTACAAAAAGAAATAATGAACGATTGAGACAAAAATAAACACTTTTAATTTATAATATACAAGAATTAACAGTGTAACAAAATCAGTATAATAACAATAACAGTAGCTCACCAAGTTATCCAGCTCTGGGTTTGATGAAAATAAAGGCCTCTCCGATCGGATCTAGAAACAGAAAACATATTATTATAATCATTAAACAAGCCAACTGCCCTGTGGCCCCAGACCCCCACAGGAAGGGGTGGGGGGGCGGGGCTGAAATCTGATTGACCAAATGCCACCCGATTATTCTTCCCTCTCCCACGCCGTGCGTTCAGAGGCAGATACTGCTATCATATGAAACTAAATGACCTAACATATCTTTGTCATGCTAGCATGCTTTTTATACAATTCTCTGTCTGTATTATTTATTTTTATCATTTTCAACAATCATACAGACTTAACAGAGCTTGTCCCTGGCGCTTGGCTGTTGTTCTGTTAGACAATTAACTTTTCTTCACAGAAGTGAACCGAACGCACATATAAGCCTACTGTGTATATTGTTTAAGTTTTCTTACACACTGTAACCCTTTGAGCTCTGCCTGTCAAACGATTTCAAAATGTAGACACATCAACAACATATTTCTGGACGCTCCATTGATTATGTGAACTGTGTACAACTGTGTTTGTGAATAATTCTCATTTTTATTTAGAGTATATTCACCCAGACATCACCCAGATGTTAAAGATGGAAACGTTAGCCATTACTGCAAAAAGAATGAACGCAGAAAATGCGTCAGTAAAAACCCCACCTGTGAATTCTGAAGCTCTTACGCGTCTTACAAAAGGCGGTTGCTAACATGTGGCTAAGTGAGACAGCTGAGGTTGTCGGTGACGTTAAATGTCGGCACACTGAACACTTAAAGTTTAATGTTGGTGAGTAAATTAACTTTTAAATGTACTTTTATATTTCTGCTTTAAGCTAAGTGAAAACTACTTCTCTCTGACTAATAATCATACAATGCACATGAAGTGGGATAAAAGGGGGGTAAGTGGGGCCCCACTGCTCATTTTTGCCCTCTCGAGGATTAATCCGGCCCTGGCTCTTTATGATCCTGCAGATCTGTTCTGAATTAACTCTGACACATGGATGAAATGTGTCCTTCTCTACCTGTTTGGAAAAGACGGCGATGTCCTCGTTGAAGGAGTCCGAGGAGCAGACGTCTCCCCCGGCGACGCCGCTCTCTCTCGGCGTGCAGGTCGCCAATTCACATTTTTCAAAGATCAGTGCGAGCAGAGGGAATAAAGGATGTCTGCAGGAGAAGGAGAGAGAGAGAGAGGTGGAGGAGGAGGAGGAGGAGGAGGAGGAGGAGGAGGAGGGATCAGCTCAGACTGCAAAACTCTAACAAGTTTCCTGCTGCCTCAAACTTTTCTAAAAAAAAAAGAAAAGAAACTTCAGGTAGCAGATTTAGAATAATCATCTTCAGAGCACTTTTGTAGACGAGAAAAACTAAATTAATTTGATTATTTCATTAAATTTCAAAACAAAAACTACATAAAGTACTGGTGGAACTGGTTCTTACAGCATGAAAATGATTACAGTTAAAAAAGTTTCCGTTACCCTCACTTTCTCTGGATAATCTGCAGAGGTCAACAGCTTTCATAGAGACTCTTCAGTGGAAAGTTTACTCAAACACATCAGTGGAAAGCAAACATTGTATTACTCTCTGTATGACACAACCAGATTGAAGCGAGAACATTTTAAAATCTATAATCTGCAATGAAATGCAAACCATGTGCTCCTGATACACAGTTAAATAAAGAAAAACCTTCTTTAGTTTAGTAAAACCAGTTTATGGAGCAGACTTAACTAAATTTAAGTTACATTTCTAAAAAAGGTACTTTTAAATTTAACAGACTGGACTAACATTGCAGTCACCCAGAGAGGAAAATAAAAGCATTTATTTAAACTTTGACTGTTTAGTTTTGATCTTTGAAGTAAAAACAACACTAAAGTATCTTAATATCATAAATAAATTAGAGCTAGGATTGAATGTTGTGTGCAGATTTTTTTTGCTTCCATTTTAATGCATTCAGAGATTTCATTTTAACTGAAGGAAGTTATTTGACATCCACCAAACAGTCTGTTGTTAGCTTTCAAATGAAAGGAGATGCCATGTTGCACTGTAAAAAGTGTAGTCAAGGTAAAGCCTATATAAACAGAAAACAGAAATGATCCCAGAATCGAACCCTGAGGCACTCCAAACTGTTTATAACATTGACGGATCAAGAGCAGAAACAAGTCCTGTAACTGTAACATGGACAGGCAAACCACCAGGAAACATGACTGGAGTTCTCTGATTATTAGCAGCAATTTGATTATTGAGCCCATGGCAACTATTTTCATACTCAATTAATATTTCAGTTATTTTTTTAAGCTAAAAAGTGAAACATTTGCTGGTTTTAGCTTTTTGAATACAATGATTTCCTTTTCTTTTTTGTACAGTAAACTAAATAATTTTTGTTATTTGTATTATTACTTTAATTATTTGTACTGTACTGATAAAACCAAGCAGAAATCTCTGTGGCTACAAAATGAAGCAAAGATTAAAATAACAAAACCTGCAGTTCCTCTAACGGCCACTAGAGGCTCCAGCAGTGAGTCAATCTCCATAAAGCCCCAATGTGCAAACATAAATAGTCCAACTTTATGTTTATAGCCTGGTACAAAAAACACAGTTGATCTTTATAGCTAAATTCCCCGTTTAAGACGACTGTACGGGGGGTGAATTTTTATACAACTCACCTGTTTAAATTATATTAAGGCTTAAAGTTATGCATAATTAAGGGCGTGGCCCCATTGAGTGACAGGTGGTTTCAGTAACCAAGCCTCAGCTCCACCTCTTTGCCCATTTTTGGATTAGCTGGGTGCCGGTGGAGTCTGGACCGCCAAGGTGGCAACAGCCAGAGCCGAACTCACTGAGCTTCACAAACCTACGGGTGACGTCACGGCAACTACGTTCATTCTTCATACAGTCAATGGATAAAACAATCTGAAAATGGGCATGAATCACCATTTTCAGACATTTTACAGACACAATAATTATTAATGAATTGAGAAGATAATCGTAGATCACTCAGTTATGTGATTAAAGGTGAGTTGATTTGACAACCTGTTTACAGTGCGGCCATATGCCAGAAGCAACAAATAGAACCACAACTACTGATAATGTTTACTGTTAAATCGTGTTTTTAAACTAGGGATCTGTCAGACGTTTGATACAGGAGCTGACCACAGAGGCTGAACATAATAAATCTTATTAGAGAGACAGAGAGCGTCACGTGACCTTTGCTCTAAACTCGTCTGCTGCAACATTGAACAGTTGCTGCACTTTTTCTACAAGGGAATAAAATTGATAAACTTCACTGCATCCTGTAGTTGGAGCAGCAGTGAATCTAATACTGCATTTATTCTTTTTATATTCTTCTTTAAATGTTTAATTTATGCCACTTTATACTTTTATTCTACTGCATTTCAGAGGGAAATATTGTACTTTTTACTCTATTACATTTATTACTTTGCAGATAAAACTACTGAATACATAATGAGCTTACATACATGGCTACAGGTTAATCTATAAAGATAAATTAGCTCAACCTTGCAGGGGTGGATCTATAGAAATATTCACATGGTGGCAGAAATGTATGCTGATTTAATCACATTTATTAATATTTGCTTCGAAAAGCCTTTAAAGGAAGATATTTGAACTCAAAAACATTAATGTGGCACATTACAAAGGAGGCATTAGAAATCAATACATTGCTTTGTTTCCAGATAGATGGTTATTTTTTTATTGACCCTATCACAATGTGACAGATCAATAAATAAATGTTAGTTTTTAACTCATTATTTTTTAAATTAGTGAGTTAAATGTGACACCAGACTCGGGTGTCCAGGCAGCTGCCACCCCTTTAGATCCGCCCCTGCAGCCTACAATGACACTCTGATCATTTTTCTACATAATAAACACTTTTACATTTTGTTGCTTGCACTTGTTTTTACTGAACTTTTATTAGTAGAGGAGTGTTTTTTAACATGATGTACTGCTGCGTTAACTTGAGTGAAGGAGCTGAATATACTGTTTCTGTCTGTTTCTGTTTTCACCTCTTTGTGAACTTCACTTCACACACTAACATACAGATAATGTTGGTCTGACTCAGCTTGTGAGAAACTAAACACATAAATCAAACATGAAGGAACTATTTTTACAGACGAGGAAAACTCTTCTGCAAGAGCTTCTTTTGTCCTCATCCGTCTTTTTTTTTTTTTACGGTGTCAGTAAACTCATCGTACCCATAAATGGCGTCTTTGTCCCTCTTGACGGCGTCCCCAGCTGTGGCGGCCATGCTGCCGCTGCTGTGGGTGGACTGGGCGTACTGGTGTGGAGGGTAGGGGCCAGCAGCGGCGGCAGCAGCCAGGTGCACGGCCTGCAGGGAGCGGGCTGCAGCGGCATGGTGGTGGTGATGGTGGTGAGGGTCTCCGTACACCCCACCCACCCCCTCCAGCCCGTAGTGGGCCAGGTCTTCATACTGAAACACAAAGATAAGAGTGGTGTGACCTTTGACCTCTCGGGCTGTCTTGCAGGAGCTGTTCGCTGACCTCAACGGGGGTCAGAACGCCCCGAAAGTGACCGATGAATGTGGGGAAACAAACTGAGCTCAGGGTTTATGAGCAGGGACGTTCTAATAAATACTAAAAGTGAATAAAAAGACACAAACTGACAGAACAATTTCAGAAAAAGAAACTTTTCCATGTATGTAAAACTGCAGATACACCTAAATATCATTTGATAGCAAAAATATGATTAAATAATGAGATCTAATAGAACAAAACCTGAAAAAATAAAACTGATTATAGGCTACAGGTGTTCCTGTTATTATGTCCACTCCCTGTTTATTTTCTCTCACGTGACAAAAACTGAGATGTTTTGGAAAAATAATAAGTTTTAAACCTTTAAAACACCCAGTGTGAGTTTAAAAATCGTATTATTACAATCATCAGATATAAACGTAATAATACAAATTAAACAGTGCGTTGACTTTACGAATTAAAAAAAACACCCTGAGCAGGAGAATGATGTGAATGATGTTTTCTATAAAATAACATTGAACAACATATTAAGACGTCTCCCACAACCGAAACTCTGCTAGAAACTATTTGCTGCATTGTGCAGGTGTTCCTATTATTTTGTCCACCCCCTGTTTATTGTGTCTAACTCGATCAACGCTGTGATGTTGAGGAAAAACAAAAAAAGAGTTGTTTGAACATTTTAAGACATCCAGTTGGTGAAATGAAACAAGAGCAAAACTAAAACTACATTTTCAAATAAAATCAAAATTAAAAGTGAATAAAAAATGTAATTGAAATGTTTAAATGAATGAATTTTCAAGTCTGTGTTTGTATTTTATTTTATATATGTATATGTATGCATAATGTATGTACAGAGGGGTGGACAAAATAACATGAACACTGTAAAATCATGCGGAATGCAATAAAACCACTATTAATTTAAAACAAGGCGTCTCTGAGAAACAGGTAAATATTATTAGACTGTATATATATTATATATTATTCAATTTCCATAATATTCATGAATTGCCCCTCCCTTTGTACATTTTCTCAATTATTGAATAAACTATAACTTCAGTCTGGAATGAAAACAAGTTTGAATGCGGCCAAACTGAACACAAGTCTATATATGTAATATAATAATATAATGAAGTTTATATGTTGACTTTATATTATCTGTATGATTTCTAACATGAAGTGATTTTTGTAGTTTAATGCTTCTTTATGAACAACTGAGGTTTGTTATGTTTGTGTCTTTATGTTCACCTGTAGCTGCTTTAGTTTCATCCAGTTTGAAAAATACAAGTAAAGTTTAACAAAAACTTTTTTTTACATCTCCAAAGCAATAAGAATAAAAAGTGTGAAAAATAACTGCTGTAATTTAAAAATCCAAAACATGGTTTTAATTTTATAAAGAACCTGATTTAATTATTTAATCTTTATTTAATGATGAGTTTTAAAAACTGGTTTAAACTTTTTAAACTTGCACATACATTGATAAGTTCATAAATCTATTATATTTCTATTTAAATAACAGGAATGTATATTATTATTTTTTCTTTGCTTATCATAAATGTATCGGTGCTGCTACTTTCTTTATTCGATTTATTTGATTTATTGTCATTAATTGAACACGCTGCAGCAGCTGCACTGCGACCGAAAACAACTTCCATAGTATGTCACACATTTATGTTATAAAGAGTTCTGAAGTTCAAAAGAAGCTCGTGAAGTACATTTTCTGATCAGTAATCGATACACAGTCCGCCGGCCCGCACTGTGGAGGAAATGTTTCAGTATGAATGTTTTATTTCTGTTTGTTGAGTCCTTTCAGGTTTGACAGATTTTAACAGCCGTGAAAAAACAAAATGAAAAGTTTTTTATTGTGAAAGAGCCGCTAACAAACAGATGATGTGCGTTTATAAAGAGTCCCGCAGCCACTGCAGGCCCAACCCGGCTGCTACACTACACACACACACACACACACCCATATATATATATATATATATATACACACACACACACACACACACACACACACACACACACACACACACTGTATCATAACACGCACAGCTTTTGTTGGTTCATCTTCACACTTTTATACTTTTTTATTTTATTTTTTTTGCCATAAATCAACGAAAAAGTAGCAACAACTTTAAGGCCTCAAGTTAATAAATCTGAAGCTAATCAGCAGATTTTATCAGCAGAATTTAAATGACTGAAATAACTAAAAGATTATTATTAATAATCCCCTGCAGCCGACTTTTATTTTTAAAGTGAATGTCCTTTAATTAAAGCTCCTTTAATGTCTTTATTATTCACTAAATCTAAACTTTTACTTTTAGAAAAGTGCTGTTTGGACGCGTTTGAGATAAATCTGTTAATATTAGAGAAAATGAATGGTAAAAATGTTGTTGTTTTTTTAAAGAAATTAAACTTTAATTAAGGGAAAAAGTTTCATGGATTATTTTTTACGCACGAGAGAAAGTTACTAGTTCCTGAAGTTAAAGTCAATATTAATCCGCTGGAAGAAAACAATGTTCATATTCACGAGAGTTTAAATCCTCTCGTTTTTGGGTCTTTTTGAGGACAAGTGGTTCCACAAATCCAGACTCAGTTTTTTGGACTTCTGAACATAAAAATCGCGCAGCTGAGGAGGAACCGTCTCCTCGCGCTCATCGAGTCCCTGCGCTCCAATAAAAGTTGATTTTTACGCACCCGTTGCGCCATCGGCTCCGTCTCTCCGCCCGGACTCCAGGTGACTCCTGTGAGGGAAAACACACATCCAACTCCCCGGTACCGGAGCGTTAATCAGCTAATCCCGTGTGCAACGTGTGTAACCGCCGCGGAGAGAAACGCACAAACACACACCGAGCGGCGGCGGCGGGTCCCTGCAGGCTCCGCTGCGCTCTCCACGGGAACCGACCGACGGCGACACTCCGCCAACAGCAGCACCAGCCCGGGCAGACGCTGTCCTGCTCCCGGCCTCCAGCTCCGAGCACCGAACCAAGCGCTCAGTCAGCAGGCCGATCAGTTCACATCCACACCGTGACGCGGACCCGCCCGCTGCGCTCTGAGCCGGGCCGTGCGGCGCTGTCTTCTGCGCGGACGTGCGTTCAAATCCCCATCGCAGCTCCGGCGGAGCGGCTTCCTCAGAGCAGGCCGTCCGGGTGTAAGGGGAGGGAGGGAGGGAGAGGAGGAGAGAGGAGAGGGGGGAGGTGGGGGGTTACTTTCTTCTCTCACTTAAAGGAGCAGAGACTCGACGCGCGTCCCCGCAGCAAGGCGCGCCACCGCGAGGTGCACTGGATGGAGGGACTGAGTTGGAAATCTGCTCCTCACATTGTTGTGGGGGAGTTTATTGTGAAAAGACTTTGGTGCTGATGTACTGTAAAGTTTCTTTTTAACTTCTTGAGTCCTTAAAAACTTTTCTACAGTGGAACTAAAGTCCTTTAAAAGTCACATTTGTGGATCAAGTAAAATAGGAGCTGAATCACCAACTGGGTCCTCAGACCTTCAGGGGCTCCGAAGGCTCCGGGTTTACTATGTGGCAATTAGTCTGTGGTAATTGGATGAACTGCATATGTGTTAGTGAACAGTGTGTGCACAATATAGTGAACTGAGAGGCCCTGAGGGGACTCCTGTGTTATTACATCATCTTTGAGCTCCTGTTTAAAGAGTTCAAATCTAGTTTAAGGTTTATTAGTTCAGTTTATGTTGTGTTTACGTGCTGCTGCACATGTTCATACTCTATACAGCATATTCATATCTACCCCTTTATATTCATACACATTACTCTGCACTTTACTGTTTTTGGACTTCAGGTTAGTTTGTTGACCAAACTAATCCCTAAATAATACATGAGAGAGGGAGAAATGAGGGGTCCACAGGGACCCACAGCTCCGGGGTAAAAGTAGAATAATGTAAATTATAGGCAACATTTTAGACCAAATATCATTTTATTGCAGATAAAACATGTTTTTACTGTTGACTTTTTAAGCAGCTGATAATTGATGGTGATTTATTTCTGACATATCTATTTATTATTCCTTGAACATTCATGCAGACAGAGTGTGTCCATAAAAACCTCCGTCCTTATCTCACTCTGCTTTCTTCACTCCTCTTTTAGGATGGTGCAGTCATTAGTTTAGAGTATTAACTACAGTTACTCTAAAGAAAGACAAGAAATCTGTGTTTTAAAAAAGAAATAATGTCAAAGTTTAAATGAGGAAGATAAATTAAAGTGTCTCTTATTGCTCAACTCTTGGACACTGCCGCCATCTAGTGTTTGTAAAGTGTTAATACATCCAGAGTGCACTCATGAATCATTAACACATTTGTGCCCAAAAAAGGAGGTGCACAAAAAAAACACGGGTAAAACTGTTTGGCGGAAAGATTTTTCTTATCATATTATATTTAGTCTCACTGTAAAACATAATGAGTTAGTTCAACTCAAACTGTTGAGGACACCAACTGCCTTTAATCATTTAAGTCTATTAACTCAAACAATTTAAGCATTAAAAATATTTGATTTGACTCAAGTATTTATTGTGAAGATAACTTGGGTAAATGAAGTTAACTGTACCAATTCCATTAAAACTAGTTAGTATATTACACTCATATGCAGCAACTCTCCAAACAGCTGATGTACAATACAAAATCTACAATGAATTGATTCTCCAAATGGTCAAATCACAAAACTGTAAAAATACTAAGCTATACTACATTTTTGTTTTATATAAAGTCAACTTAAAGAAAATGAGTCAGTGGAACAAACTGGAATTATGTGACCAATACTTGAAATACTGCACAAAAGTTCCCTTAAACCAGTTGAGTTATTCAACAATTGAGTTTTGAGTTGGGTTGAATTCAAGTTATGTTAACGTCCTTCTTTTATTAAGATATGCTGTTAGGTTGCACAGTGCTTGATGCACATGGAACTACTGTTGTTTCCAAGAATGGTAGAAAATGCTGTAGAATAAGCAGAATTTGTCCCGACTAATAATGGCTGTGTGGTAATAACGAGCTAGTGAGTCATAACCGAGGCTTTTAAGTTTTCTTCTCTGGTGAATGCAAAGCGCTCGAATACAAAGAAACCAAACATTTTCCCAACTAACAGAAAAAACACAAGAAATTCTAGTGAAGCACTTAAAATCAGCTCATTCACAGTTTCATACTTTATTAACCTGCTTTTATTTTCTTCATCCAATAAAAATGAGCACAATTCATATGAAATAAGCAAAAGTTTATTCATTTTTTTTAACATAGTAGATGATGGTGATACATTCATTACAGCAGGGGTCTCAAACTGCCGGCCCGGGGCCCATTTCTGGCCCTCCACCCCCTCCCTCTGGCCCCAGACATGATGTCAAACTATAATATAATCTGACTGATAAGATAATCAGTTTAAAAAATATATTTTTTCCGGTTATTTCACATCAATTTAAACTACCCCTTCATATACAATTACAATAAAAACACAATAATGGAAAAGCTCATTTGACTGCAAACAACAAGAATGATATAAAACTGTATAGAAACTGCTGTTTGCATTGTTTGTAGTAATGGAAACAGTTTCAGAATATTACACTTTCTTACTTGAACGTTGACCCGGAGATAACAATACCAACAGTGGCCCCAAGACAGTGTGAGTTTGAGACCCCTGCATTACAGTCATCTATGAAATAACCTGAATCCGTAACCAACTAACGACTAACGATTATATTTTAAGGAAAAGCTCCACAGAATTCTTTCTGTTCGAGGTGGAAACACAAAATCTGCAGTGGAAACTGTGGAGACATGTGGCTGCACACAGCAAAATCCAAATGTTTGATTTCACACATTAATTTTCCCCAATAGGTAGACAAAGGTCATTTTATTTAGAAAAATCACAAGAATAAGCATTTGTTAAATATCAGATTGGCTCTGGATCAAAGTACATATTATTGGGGCCCGAGCAGCGACCACTGAGGGAATTATTATTTGTCTTAACTGAAGTTATGAAATGTGGCACAAAAGTTGGCGTTAGTGAAAATGTACGTGTCATTCCATCTCATATAATGGCTCCACAGCACCCGTTAAACTGCAGCCCCCCGGCACGTGTTACCGGAATGCATGAAAATCTGTACGCACATGTATCACGACCAAACGTACAAAAAAGCCTCTTGAAGCCATGCCCCAAACCCAACAGGAAGTCGGCCATTTTGAATTGAATGTGCAATTTTGCAGCAGTTTTTGCAATATTCAAATTTCTTGTGTTTGATGAGAGTCTTGCCCTGAAAACATTTACTTGCCAATATTCTGTCATAGTCACAGTGCCACCTACTGGAAACAGGAAGTAAGCTTTGTACAGTAATCTTCATCTGATTTACGTGTGATATACTGGCTCATAATGCGACCGCGGCACTCCCCGACGTACACGGACTGCAGCTTTAACTGAAGTTGAATCCAATGGTACCAAGTATTTGATATAACTCCTTATAGTTTTTGAGATTCAGCCATTTCTGTATTTAGTCGTTAGTCACGAGGGGTTAAGCAAAATCTGTATGACATAAAACAAAATCCTTAGTTACAAAATTACGGCGGCCCTTAAGGGACATTGGGGGAGAAAAAAATACTTTTGCATAGAGAAATATTTGTTAAAAAATAACTTCTGGAAGCAGCAAACCAAAGCAATGGAGAGGCTCATAGCTGAGACATTACGTCAGTGCTTGGTTCTAGTCATGGTTTTCAAATCAGTGAAAGACAGCCGAAGAGGACTGTTGGTGAAAGGGAGATATTCTCGGTGGAAAAAGTACTCGAACTCTGACGTAATGTCTTTATATTTGAGTCCAAGGTCAGAATGAAACTCTGTGAAACTCTCCGTAGCTTTGGTTTGATATTTCCCAAACAACGATGACCCTTGGGTTTTACTTTAAAGAGCTTTTTACACTCCAAATATTTATCACAGGGACACAAAACTAAACCCATGTCCCCCTAAGGGCCTCCATACAAAATAGGCAAAAATAAGCAAAATCCTTAATTATGAACGTTAACAAAACTGATCTGAAATAAGTAAAATAAACAAACACAAACAAAATTCACACAAAATAAGTAAAATTCTTAATTGTAAAACTAACCAACATCCTTAAAGCTAGGGTAGGTATTTCAGAGGAATCTTTTTGTTGTATTTGTTGAAATTCTTTTTACATCCCGACAACAATGAATCAATAAAATGCTCTGAGAGACAATCTGGTCTCTGTGGCTGCTGTAATGAGCTCAGCCAGTGATTGGATTCAGTCTGAATGAAATGATTGTTAATGATGCAGCAGTCGGCCACTATGTGTTCATGTGTTTTCAGGGAGTGGTTTTGGAGGGAGGCCTGAAGGGAACAGGTGGGATTTATGTTTTCACGTGGATCTTTGTCTAACGTTATCTACCCGAGCTTTAATCACAGTAAAACTCTTATGAAATGAGCAAAATCCTTAAAGGTCCAGTGTGAAGGGATTTAGTGACATCTAATGGTGAAGTTGGAGAATGCAACCAACTGAATACAGCTCGCCTTCCAAGTGTGTAGGGGAACCTACGTTGGCTGGAAAAAATGCAAACTCTCTTATCAGTCAGTGTTTGGTTTGTCCATTCTGGGCTACCGTAGGAACATGGCGGACTCCGCTCCCTCTGTAGATAAAAACGTCTCACTCTAAGGTAACAAAAGCACAACGATTCTTATTTTCAGGTGATTAAACACTGATGAAAACATACCGATGAATATTATATTCCATTTGTGACAATAGATCCTCCTCAATGTTTCACTCTGGACCTTTAAACTACATTTGTACCAAATAAACAAAATCCCTGATCACAACATTTAGTAAAATTCATACAAAATAAACAAAATCTGTAATTACGAAAGTAAGCAAAATCATTATCTACAAAAGTTGGTTAAATTCATACAACATAGAATCAAGATGAATTGGTAAGAAATAAGCAAATCTGTAACTGTAAAAAAATGAGCAAACATCCTTAATTATAAATGTAAGCAAAATTCTTAATTGCACAATTAAGTAACACTGGTACAAAATAAGCAAAATCCTGTAAAAAAAAAGTTTATGAAATAAACAAAATCCTGAATTACTAAAAGAATCAAAATACTGAATAGTTCAAATAAGCAAAATCCATGATTACTAAAATTAGCAAAAATCCTTAATGTTGAAAAAATAACCAAAATCTTTAAGTAAAATCCTGAAACAAAATGAAGTAAGATTCTTAATTACTGTATAAAAACAATGAAAATTCTTGATTTAAAGATCAAATAAGTTTTAACAACTCATATTTTTGCTCCCATTTGAATTATTCTAATTCTTTGTTCCCAGATTTGAGCTGAATGTGGTCCTGCTGTCGAACCATCTACGATACAAATATGACATTTTCAAAGTCCTGGAGGACGAAATCTTGCTCACAAGATAAAATAAAAACCCATGTCAACCACAAGGGAGCGCTAAAGTAAAGTTATAAAGTTGATATCTCATTAACAGGATGAAAGTGGTGTCAAACAGCCTCTGACCTTTAATATTGTTCTCTGTTCTCTAACTACATGACTTTGTTAATTCACTGTAATCTTTTTAAACAGATTCTCCCAATCGCAGCAGATTTGTTCCACCAACCCTGGATGTGGTCCAGATCTACAGATCCAACAGCAGGTGGTCCTGAACAGGTTTCTGCTCTTATCTCAGGATTCAGTTGTTCAAACGTCACCAAATGTGATCGAGTATTGTAACACCAGATTCAGAGGATATATGACAGTGTTTCACTTTGATTTTAACTGAATAGATAACATCACTGGGCCAACATTGTTCCAAAATGACTCCCAAATCCCCGACCAGCCTGGGTCTTCATAACTTTAGAATCTGACCATCGACCGGTTCATGGTACATTCAGATCGATCCAGGGGTCAGTGTACTGATGTCGTCGAATAACGTTAAAACTGATTTCTGAATGTGTAAATCTTTACAGCCCGAGAGCTCAGTATCTCTGCTTTCAATATTTGTGAGGTGTTTTTAAAGAGTTACGTCTTCAATAGGAACAAACAGGGTTGGTTTTGGTCTTTTCATGCTCAGAGTAATAAAAATATAATGTGATATAATAATTCCAGCCAACATGAGGATAAAAATGTAAAATCCTTGACTGAGCTGATGGCTGTGTGTCAGCTGTGAAATCCATGTGGATGTGAGAGGAGCTCCTTGGAGGACCTACTCTGCTCCCTGAGCTCCTTCCTCTTCAGTCGGCCCTCCTCCAGCTGCAGGAACACCCAGGTTATAATCATCCAGCTCAATGTTCTCCTGTCTGCCCGGCTTCTGCCCCCTGCAGGCCTGGAGAGACACGACAGCATGAGTCCCCTCTTCAGTTCAATAAACAGACAGAGTGCTTCATTTCAGTCAGTCCTCTAAACAACAGACAGTGTCAGTACCTTACAGCAGCAACAGAGGGCAGTGTTCACCAACAGCAGAGTCAGCAGCAGGACGACCACTCTGATGAAGTGATGATGAACTGATGGATCTGATCAAACACATGGACAGTCATCACATCACAAGGTGTTTTCTCCCAGAATCTGTTCAGTGAACTGTTATCTGACCACACATCCTGTCTGCATTGTTCTCCAAACTAAGTTAGCATAGCCCCGATCAACCAAACTCCATTCAGAAAACAAACATTTCAAAAGTTATTTGCTTGTGGTCTTGCAGACAGACCCGACTAAATAACTTGAGCTTATGTAGTTATTTCAGCATCTTTTTGATCCGTTTATTGCAATTAAATCACAGCAAATTGTGTTTACTCTGTAAATATGGTGAACAGTGAAATACCTCAGTCAGTAACCAAACATGATCTGTCCTACAGTATGTTGTTTGCTGTTGACATTTACACACTTATATAAGTTTGGACACTATATGACATGTGTAACACAATGACAGTAGTCTCTGTTGTCAGCTGATCATCTTTCCAAAGCTGCATGTAAACAGTCAGTGAGACAGTTTCTCTGCTTCAGCTTACCTGAGACAGTGAGAGAGAGCAGACGGCTCTCAGAGGAGAAGTTATGAGAGAAAACATAGACGTGATAAACACAGCTGTAGTTTCCTTGGTGGGCGGGCTCTGCAGCAGGAAACAGGAAGTGGGCAGAGTGATTGACAGCTGGCTGGGTGTAGTTGTGCGTTGTGTTGGAGGAGGTGAAGGTGAGCTGGAAGGAGCCTCCTGGGTACTGTGGCTGGATGGAGCAGCTGATGGTGAAGGTGGAGCCCCTGAGCACCCGAAACTCCTGCTGCTGGGCCTCAGAGACCCCGTACGTGGAGGAGGACACAGAGATGTTGGGCCGAACCAGCAGGTCTGTAAATGAGATGAGATGATGAAAGGTCGCATTGATGATGTGAATGTCACTGGACTGATATCAGGAAGAGACATGGAGCAGACAGACAGACAGACAGACAGACAGACAGACAGACAGACAGACAGAGACAAGCCCACTTCTGACTTCAGGATGTCATGTTCATGTCATATATGATGTTAGATGATGTCACTGATGGGCTTACCTGAACAGGTGAGATTCAGGATGTAGGAAGAGGAAGCTGATATAGCACACTCCCTCAGAGAAGATCCAGACTGAACACAGTCAGAGTCGATCAACCACACAGGTCTGTATGAAGACTCCTCTCTCTCTACTACAGAAACAGCAGAACCACAGTCCAGATTTCTACAGACAACATTTGCTTCCTTCAGGGTCCAACGGAAGCCCCTCACTGGTCTCCAGTCTCCTTTATGTTTCAGCTCCAGTGTTCCTGCACAGCGACTGTCTCCTCCCACCAACCTGACAGAATCTGAACAGAAACAAGAGAGTCATCAGTAAAAGAATAAAGTGAGTTTCATCAGAACAGAAATGAACCAATCAGAGCTGCAGCTCCTCTTCTACCTGAGCAGGTGAGTCCAACAGCTTTTCCAGGTGAGCAGGTGTTTCTAGCTGGGCCTGAGCTTCTACAGTCCAGGAGAGCAGACTCATGGCCTCCACACTGGAACTCTTTGGTCCACATTGGAGCCTCCACTTCTCCATAGAGCGCCCCCTGGAGGACTGAAGGAGCCCCACAGCCGAGCTCCCTACAGACCACCTCTGCATCCTGCTGGTCAAAGTCATCTTCACACACTGAGGACCACCACTGGTTAGACTGGTCAGACTTCACCTCCAGTCTGCCTGAGCACAGACTAGTCCCATCCACCAGCCTGACAGAGTCTGGACAGATAATAGAAGATACAATAGAGAGAGAAAAGACACCAGACACAAATAAAAAGATATCATCAAACATCATAATATAATGTTATTTTAACATTACACACATTGGCCTTCAAGTGGACATGAAACGTGCATGTTTTGGCACAGGTAGTGTCAAAACATGTTAGAAAAAACACATAAAGTATTATTTAAAGGCACACTATGCAAGATTTTTACCTTAATACAACAGCTTCAAAGTCATTACGATGGTAAACAAATTCGTAGTATAGCGAATCATCCCGATAGCGAATCAGGAGAGGGACGCCGTTGGCAGAACCAGCAATGCAAGTCTGAAAGGTGGCGTCCCGCCAAATCTCGCGAGAATCACAAATTGCTTCATGGCGTGACGTCACACACATCAGAGACATAAGAAGCAGCCTCAAACGGAGAGGGGGCCAAGATGGCCGTGGCGCAGGATGCTGGGTGCAAAGTTTCTCCGTCAAACAATTTGAGGCTTTGTGAATAGGCAGACAGAATATGTGGTAATATTAACGATTTAATGATAAAAAAGTGACTTTAACACAGTAAAATGTTGGTACCAGAACTATTATTCCGTGGAAAAGGAAAAAAACTGGGAAAACCGAGACGTAAAAGTTTGAACGCAAGCTAGTTAACGTACCAACGTTAACGCCAGAGAAAGAAAGAAGATGACTTCCAATGCTAACGTGAGTGACGCTGAAAAGTCAGTAGAAATGAAGGCACCAGGTGAGGAAAGCATAGAAACTACTCCTGAAGATACAATGGACTCACTTTCGGGCCAGTCCTGTAACACCCTAACGAAACATGTCAACAAGAGGAAGAAACGGGACTCTAACGGTAACGGTAACGGTGTCAGCGCTGACACTGTGGCAGACAGAAACAACGTCTCAACGCATTGAAAAACTCTCTTCTACAGTTGAGCAACTTGTGGTGGATATTAATCACCACAAAGACATTTTGAAACAGACAGTTAGAAATTGAACAACTGAAAAAAGAGAACCGGATTCTGAGAGCAGGAGTTGCTGAAAACAAGCGCTACAGTTACAGATGGACACTGAAACTACACGGAGTAAGAGAGGAGATGAACGAAGACGTGAGAGCAGTGGTGATTAATATCCTGGGAAAAGTTGCCCCGGGACTTCATGAATATCTACAGGACGGTATCGACATTGCGCATCGCCTTGGTCCGAAGAGAAAGGACGGATCCCACCAGTCCCTAATCATCCTCTTCGCACTGTCCCGTATCCGTGATGCTGTTTGGGAGAGTGCCAAGGGCTGCAAGTTTCTGCGGGACAACAAGCTGCGTCTCACCGAGGCACTTTCCCCGGAGGATCGAGTGGCTAGAGGAAAAACTTTGGCCCCTTGTGGAAAAAGCAAGGAAGGAAGGTAAAAAGGCGTCCTTGCTAGGACCTTATGCTCTGATAGAGGGGGAGAAGATTGACCATTTAGACATTGATTGAAGCCTTTTCCTCAGACAAATGAAGAGAAGAGTCATACAGTTTGGTAAGCTTCCTACACACTGCACATCTCCAGGGTGTTTATAAAGAACTATGCAAAAACTTATTGACTATGAACTATTAACTTTGGATGATGACTGATGAAGAAGGCTGTTTCCAAACATTTCACATCTCCAGGGAGGACATAACTATGCATAGACTCATTACTAAGAACTATTAACTTTTGGAGGTGACAGATGAAGATTGCTATGTTTCCAAACTGTCGATATTAAGAGACACCTGGTATTGTGGAAGAAAGTTGTTGTTAAAGAGAGAGAGTGTGGGTCAGGGAGAGATGAGTACAACTATGAAACAAGGCGTTATATCGCTAATTCCAAAACCAGATAAAGACAACTTGTTGATAGAAAACTGGCGACCTATCACTCTCCTTACTATTGATTACAAGATTCTGGCATCAGTTTATGCAACTAGATTAAAAGTGGGTAAGAATTTCTCAACTGGCAGACGATACAACCCTCTTCCTGAAAGACAAAGAACAGTTGGTCAAAGCTATTGATCTAGTTAAACAGTTTTCATTAGCATCAGGCTTGAAACTCAGTTTATCTAAATGTGAATTATTGCCCATACACAATTGTGACGACACTTTCATAGATAATATCCCAGTAAAAACCACAGTCAAGTATTTGGGCATTGATATAACAAAAAATGTAATAGCAAGGCAACAACTGAACTTTTCTGGAAGAATTAAAAAAACTAGAAAATTCCTAAAGCAATTTTGATTGTGCCTTGCTAACCGCTAACCGCTAGCTCTGCGCTAATAGCTAGCTAAGTGCTAACCGCTAATCGCTAGCTAAGTGCTAGCTTTGGTTAATGTGTTTAATTGTATTATTCTCCTGAAGGAGTGCTAATGTAAATTAAGGAACAGCTCATAGTAGGGTAAAATATTTAAGGTGTATTGTTCTTATTTTGTGTTAATATTAAAATCATTCAGCTTTAAATTGTTTGCTTGTTAGCCGCCTGCTAATTATCTTTAGCTAGCCAGCTAGCGCTAGCTTATTAATGCCTTGTCATTCTCTGTAGCTAGCTGTGTGTGTGTGTGTGTGTGTGTGTGTGTGTGTGTGTGTGTGTGTGTGTGAGTAGGCTTTGGTTGTCATGGCAATCAGGGGAGCTCACAGCAGCTGCGCGCGCTCTCTCTCTGTCTCTAACTCCTCAGAGAGACAGAAAACAATTCAAATGAATCCCCTCAAAAGCATGGCCAGGAACGACCGAAATGAAAACCGAAAACACCGTGAGCGTCGTCATCTTGTTGACTATAGCGCTGCCGAGTTTCAGTGGTTAAAGTTAAAAAATGTGACCTGGGGAGATTGAGAGAGAAGAGGTTCAACGAGCTCCTTTAAACATTCCTCCTCTAAAATTAACATGGGAGTAGATGGGGCCGTGAGAGGGCATTGCTGGCGCATCAGTGCGTCTCCCGCCAAAACTATTTTTCTGACAGCTTCAGCAGTAGTATCACTGCGACCCCAACGGATTTACCTACGTTTCTATCTATAAATTATTTCTGTAGAGTGAAATTTGTGGCCATGACAGCAGTTTACAAATTTATTTTTCGACTAATTTTTCTCTCTCCCCACACTCTAGCGATGATGTCACGCACTCTGGCGGTTTTTTTCAGTTGGAGGTTCTCGCAATACACACCCATTCATTTTTTGGACCGGTTTTTGGCGATTTATCGGCAAACCGTTTGGCGAAACGCTTAGAAAAGTCATAACACTCGATTCCCGGCCGAGCCGCACGTTTTGATACCTTTTTTGTGTACGTGCGACAAAAGCTGCGGGAGAAGAAGCGCGCCGAAACAGCGTACGGACGAATAATAAGCACGAGGAAGAGTAGTATTGTGCTTGCTTATGCAAGGCACAATAACTAGAGATATTTTTAACCTTTGGCTTCAGAGAGACTTAACATTATACGGCAGGGTCCTTTTGTCCAAAGCTGAAGACGTCTCTCACTATGTTTATCCATCTCTTTCTCTCTTTGTGAATGATGCCACTGCTAAAGAAATTAACAAACTATTTCTGAACTTCATCTGGAGAAATAAAACACCCAAACTTAAAAATGCTGTTCTATCTAACAGCAGAGCGGAAGGTGGTCTTGAAGTGCTTAATTTCATTGATATTATAAATACTTTTAAAACCAATTGGTTAAAAAAAGAAAAAATTGGTGGGCTTGCTTTCGTTTTAACCTGCAATTACTCACCTGACAAGCTTCCGGTCACACTGTCTAGATTTGATCAGCAATCACTTCTTTCCTGGAAATTGTGCTTCGTTCACAATTTCTCTCCTCAAAAAACTCTGTTATGGAACAACGAGTGTATAACTATAAGGAATAAATCTCTTTTTTATTCCAAATGGTTTGAGAGAAGTATAAATAACATCTTGTCTGTTTTGGATGAACATGGTCTTGTCCTCTCCTATGAGAGCTTTATATCTCGTCAGAATTTTCCTATACCTTTCAAAGAATACAACTCGGTGATAAAAGCAATCCCCCCTGGCTTACTTAATTTAATGAAAAGCCACCTATCCTTCTGTGAAGGAATTAGACCAGAGGGCACATCTGTTTTACTTTTGAATGGTATCAACATACAAGACAAGAAATGTAACAATAAGCATATAAGGAAAGTCTTTCAAGATAAAAAGAGGTTTTCTCCACGAGGAAAATTTGATTGGTGCTCTCATTTAGAGGACATAGACTGGGAAAAAGGGTTGGGACAGTGCCTCGCTCCTGCTCTCGCTCCTGCTCTCGCTCCTGCTCTCTCTCCTGCTCTCTCTCCTGCTCTCTCTCCTCCTCTCTCTCCTGCTCTCTCTCCTGCTCTCTCTCCTGCTCTCTCTACTCCTCTCTCTCCTCCTCTCTCTCCTGCTCTCTCTCCTGCTCTCGCTCCTGCTCTCGCTCCTGCTCTCTCTCCTGCTCTCTCTCCTCCTCTCTCTCCTGCTCTCTCTCCTGCTCTCTCTCCTGCTCTCTCTCCTGCTCTCTCTCCTGCTCTCGCTCCTGCTCTCTCCCCTCCTCTTGCTCCTCCTCTCTCTCCTGCTCCTGCTCTCTCTCCTCCTCTCTCTCCTGCTCTCTCTCCTCCTCTCGCTCCTGCTCTCTCTCTCCTGCCTAACTTGTAAACACAAATTTACTATATTAAAGAATCATATAGCTAAATACTTGTTGTAATGTTGTTATTGTTACAATAACCAAGCATAGAAAAGTATTGAGTGTTTCCTCTTTTTATTTGCAGTTGTGGTTTGAGGTCATTTATTTTGGTTCTTTGCCCGTACCAGTTCTGGTTGCAGTGCTGGTTGAATCCCAGTTTTATTTTGTGTTTTAATTATAACATTAATATATGTAAACACTAGGGATGTTTATTGTGCTTCTGAGTGACAATGAACAAAAATAACTAAATTATTTGTTAGTGTTAATTTATCTTCCTGAAGCCTTGGCACAGAATGTAGCAGCCAGAATATCATCTGTACATGTCACTAGTTTCTTCTATTTGACCTGACATCTTTTCTCACTACTGCGTATTTATTCCGCTGGTTTATCCACCTCACTTGCACCAATATGTCGTACATAATTCCTAAAATCATGAAACTATATACTAAAAATGTAAAGGGTCACTTTAATAAGCACATTCTATATTTTATATTGTTAATGCAGTCATTAACTGCTGTACATTTTGTACTGTATTCTACTGTATGTTTTGGCAAAAGTATATTAGAGTGTTTCTATTTTTATTATATATATATATATATATATATATTTATATATGGCCTACGGTCTGTATCGTTGGTTAATTTGACAGGTTTATTGGTGTTATGGACCGGTTATTATAAAAACAGCTGTCAGTGAACAGGTAGAACTGACACCAGCATCGGCCAATCGAAAGCTCTTATTTTGTTGTGAGCTAATTAAGGGGTGGTAATAAACAAGTCGGGCATCCAGCGGTTTTCCTGTATTGACGGACGGTCAGCACTCAGGGTTGAAAAAGTAAGATATAGCTACGGAAATCTTTAGACGAGAGGACATGATTCAGACTGGTTGTCGGGAGGTGACAGGTGTTTGTGAATACTGCTTTTTTGGTACGGGACTAGTATTGATGTTAGTACCTGTTAACGGATGTGGATTGCTAGATCCCTTCCTGGCTGGCGCGTTTTAGCGCCCTGTCCCTACGGCGGACTGATGCCTCTGTACTACTGTGTGTTGGGCGGTCAGTAGAGCCCGGGTTATAGTCGGTAAAGTTAAAAACAGACGGAGCAGCTTCAGGTTTTAGTCTGTTGGTCTGGTTAACCACTAGTTGACTGCACTCAAAGGTCTTCTCCTCCATGTAATCTTCCACCAGAAAAAGATCGCTGCAAACCCGGGAGTCAGCGCTCATGGGTGGGCTCTTTCTCTTCAGTGCCGCTCTCCGTTTCAGCGGCAGTTTATGAAAATGGACTGATTTTTCCTTGGCTTTCAACCCTATAAATCTCATTTTTACAACCTGGAGCAATACAATAGTGGCCTCCCTTTTTGTTTTCTTCTGTCCTGTGGCTCTTCAGACTCCATCTTTAAGTGTCTTTCTGTGTCTCTGTCTTACACTCTCTCTGTTGGGTCCGTGGAACGCAGTCATTACAACCAACCCTCTGACTCCACAGCTCAGAGTGCTACAAGATGGCGCCCTTGCCTCAAAAAAACAAAACGGGACTTCTTTTTTCTCTAATATGCTTACATTTGTCACTTTTGTTTTACAATTACAGAGAAGAGGTTAAATCCATTTAGTAAATCAGCTTAACTTGGTTGACTGCTTCATATCCACTTTAAACACACACACACACGTACACTAGAGCAGTTGTCCCCCCGGTGCCAGAGATCGCAGGGGGTGCGCACAACTTTGTCTGCTGAGGTTGTGAGGTTACCAAAATTATATCTGTGCACATTCAATTTATAAAATCCCAATAACACACCCAACTGGATAATCAAAACTCTGTATAATCCAAACTGAAACATATTTCAGTCAGGACCACTTTCGTCAAAATATCTTATATTCCAAGCAGAATTACATTTGGCGGTATGGCTCTGTTCTGGGACCTCCTTGTCCTTCCTACGTGCCTACGTGGAAAACCTTAAGGCAGGGAGAGCACACCTCCCTGCCCTTCCATGTGCATACATGGAAAAGTTTAAGACAAGGAGAGCGGCAGCAGAGACCCCCGGGTACAGAACAGAGCAGCATCAATGGCAATCAGAAAATGACATTGATTAATTAGAAACAACATGAAAAGGAGGAGCTGGGGTGGAGGTCGGTGCAAAAGCTTGTAGAGGGAGCAGCAGAGATAGGCAGGCAGGCTAAAGCAGCTTAAATAAGGCGCCATGCATGATGTTTGCCAATTGGATGCTTGAGGAAATCAGGTGAGCTGTCAGCTGACTGTGTATGGTATCCAATGGGAAGCTTAGAGGAATCAGCGGATGTATGTTTATGACTAGCTGTGCTCGTATGATATAGCTGTAACTGAAAGCTAAGCCTGACTTCGTGCCCTGCCTGAACTAACGCTATGCTCAATTTCAGTCAGGACCACTTTCGTCAAAATATCTTATATTCCAAGCAGAATTACATTTGGCGGTATGGCTCTGTTCTGGGACCTCCTTGTCCTTCCTACGTGCCTACGTGGAAAACCTTAAGGCAGGGAGAGTACACCTCCCTGCCCTTCCATGTGCCTACATGGAAAAGTTTAAGACAAGGAGAGCGGCAGCAGAGACCCCCAAAGAACCATACCAGGCAACCTCCCTTCCATGAGCTACATGGAAGTGCCAGTAAGAGGAGCCAGCAGCACAAATTTTTGTAAGAAATAAATGACAGTCATAAAGCCAATAACTTATGCAGATACTAGTTTAAGTAACTTGGCTGAGGATTAATAAAGAGATCCCAAAGAAGTTATGCTAGAAGAATATTTAAATTAAGCCAGCAAAACATATTTCCCAAACTGTGTTATATTTAGTGGTGTGGCTCTGTATGGGACCTCCTTGTCCTTCCACATGCCTACGTGGAAAACCTTAAGGCAGGGAGAGCACATCTCCCTGTCCTTCCATGTGCATTCACGGAAAAGTTTAAAACAAGGAGAGCGGCAGCAGAGACCCCCAAAGAACCACACCAGGCAACCTCCCTTCCATGAGCTACATAGAAGTGCCAGTAAGAGGAGCCAGCAGGACTATAAACCAATACGTCTAAGCAGACACTAGTTGAAGTACATGGCTAAGTATGCTAGAGATATCCCCAGAAATTGCTATACATTAATGAATTTAAGCTGGAATTACAGGGCACTCATTGCTTTCTGAGCATCAAGAATTGCTTGGCCTCAGGCCGGAGATATCGTTCGTAAGCAGATAATGAACATTACCCATAGCCTTAGCATCGAGACAGGAGCTACGGATGCTGCATTGTTGCTGCTCCTATGCGAATGAATGGAGGAGTTATTTAATGTAGATTAGCTAAGCCAGATCGCATATACTGAGCAGTAGATAGCCTGTAGGATTGCATGGTTGTGTTTAGTCTAACACGGTTTGAGAAAATGGGGGGCAAGTCAGGCTGGATGGCACTGCCTCCGGGCACAGCTGGCGAAATTCTGCAATTCAAACCAGGCCAAAATCAGCAATGTTATCCAAGCATGGTATATGAGCTGCTCTAATAATGAGTTTACCCAACATAGATAACCAAGTGAGGCGCCTTACAAATCTATTAATGAATGGAACTGAAGAACGCCCTTGTAAATGATGTTGGCAGTTGCCTCATTGTCGCAAAAACATGATTGTTTCCTTGACCAGTCTTTTCCCCACAGAAACATGAAACAACAATTGGTACATTCATTAAAAAGGTAGAAGAGGCATTAGCTGGCAAGGATGACAGTATTTTAGCCATATGTCTGTGAACCACTGATTATTAAAATACCCCCCCAAAACCTACAGAAGGGTGGTTATCATACAGGTCAATCATGCCACTTCTACTGTATGTTTGAATTAATTATATCTCCATTATGTCTGTACACAACACCGAAAACTGTGGATCCATTGCTCTTCCCTAAATTGCCCCTCATGTCTGCTCTCTGTCTTCTAAGCTCAGCAAAGCTGTTCATTAGTGATCTAGTAGATCATAGCAGTCACACTATTAGACCTTGCTGTTGACATAAAGCTCCCAGGGTGAACTGGCACACAGTGTTCGATTTATTTATATGTACTCAATATGCTGCGCCTTTTATAATTAATGGCAAATGATGATTCTAGCTGCTCATTGTAAAAGAAGGAGATGCCATACCATTTATCACACAGAATAGATCAGGACTGGGGCTCGGATCTGCAGCCCTCATCCAAGCTCACCATATCATGGAGTTCTCTATAAATCGGAGAGGTCCAGAAGCCTGGATATAAGGGAACTTCCCTGGGGAATAACACACATGCCAATTTAAGATGTCTAAGCAAGGAGAGCAGTTATCTTTTGGAAACTACTACTGCCTGCTGCTTTAATTACCTCTCTGATGCGATTTGCATCAGTACACTATCTAGAGTGAAGCCTAGAACTCTAGCTTTACAGGGTCTGATGTTTCTCCTTGGATAGCGGAAGACCTAATGTTTAAAGGTATATTTAAGAGCAAAAATGCATGGTCTGATTTTGAATTGATAGTCAACTAACAGAAAACAGTCTATGAGATGGAGCACGAAAGCAGTTGCAGTTATTAAAAGAATCCAGCAGAGAGCCTCTGACAAGTGTCAAATATGTGGGGCTGCTGTAACAACTAAAGGTGAGCCTAACTGAGAAGTACATTTCTCTTCATTTAAACCGAACAGATGCCAATGTGAAGGTGTAATGCATGACTTAAATGCATCTGTGACATCTGCCTTGGCTAGCCATGCGCCTCTACATGCTTCTTTAATCAACTGATGGCATTGTAGATTATAGCATAAAATAAGGAAAAGTGCCAGAGGATTTAAACTATTATGCCTTAGTTTGCCTTTGCAAGAGCAGATAAATTAATAATTATGTTTATTTATTTTCCCTGAATATTTCCTGGTAGCTATACCTTGATGCTTGTTGAGAAGGCGATTTATGAATGGACCAATATGAACCTTTGTTAACCTTTCTTCAGTAAAGCATTGACTATCTCAGCTCTTCAAAGCAGATTGTAGGTTTTGGCAACAAAGTCAGCCCAGCTAAGAACCATGAACCAGCCCTATAACAGATAATCACTAACAGTGTTAAGATGCTTTCTTAGCGCCTTCCCCAGCTCAGGGACGTTTACTGGGGTTGAAGGTTTATCTCTCATGCCCCCTTTTTGAGAGGCAGCACGTTCTTCCCTATGGTGATTGGGACTCCACTTCCCAGCATTCTCGGCGGAAATGTGACGCCGTCAAAACAAGCTGCTGTGACGTCATCGTCAAGCGCTGCACCTGTGGGACCACGCGCTCTACCTGCAGACAGCGAGGAGGGAAACAGGCCAACTGCGGACGAAGACTGGCCGGCCTGACGTGCCGAACCGAACCCTGGACCCTTGAACCCATGACGGCAAGCGACAACTGGATGTTGGACAGAACTGACAAGCAAGACAGGTGGAGCCGGCCGCTGCGCCTGGGACCCGCGCTCCCCTGGAAGGCAGCGCAGCGCCGCGCCGCGCAGCGCCGGAGCCGGAGCCGGAGCCGGGACCGCAGCGGAGCCGCAGGAGCAATTCCTCCCCCCTTCTGCGGACCCTCCAGAACCAGAGCAGCCGGACACAACTGCGGATGTTGTTCAAAGCGACACTCTCCCCAACAGCCGAGATCGCTGCTGAGACTTCACAATGCAATCGACCCGCCATCATACTCACCGCAGACAGGACAAGTAGAAACAAACTACAAACCACAAGTAACGCACACAACATCCTGGTAAACAGGCTTGTAGAGGAGCAGCAGAGATAGGCAGGCAGGCTAAAGCAGCTTAAATAAGGCGCCATGCATGATGTTTGCCAATTGGATGCTTGAGGAAATCAGGTGAGCTGTCAGCTGACTGTGTATGGTATCCAATGGGAAGCTTAGAGGAATCAGCTGATGTATGTTTATGACTAGCTGTGCTCGTATGATATAGCTGTAACTGAAAGCTAAGCCTGACTTCGTGCCCTGCCTGAACTAATGCTATGCTCAATTTTTGGTCCACTAGCTAATGATAGCATGAAGCCAAGCAACCTGAAACGACCCCAGGAGACCAAACACCACCAGACTATTGGTGAACGTTGAGAATATGTTGAGAGGAAGAAGCAATTGGCACCATCAAGAAGATCCACGGACATCAGAAAAGCTTTTGAAAGAGCAGGTAGTGATTTACAAAGAGCCACGGAGGCGTCATCTGACTGTTCACTGTTAATTGCCGAGGCTAAAAAGCCGAACAATATTGGAGAGCAGCTTATCAAACCCGCCTGCCTGAAAATTGTGGAGAGGCTGTGTGGACTGCATGTTGTTGATAAAGTGAAAACTGTCCCACTGTCAGACAACACTGTGAAAGACCAAAGACCAAAACCAGCTGCAGAGAAGCTGAGGAACGTTAACTTTGCCATTCAGCTGGACGAAACAACAACAGTGTCAGACGAGTCCGTCCTCATGGTTTCTGTGCAGTATATTGATGGCGAGGACTTGAAACAACACATTCTTATGTCTAAGAATCTATCAACAACAACAACCGGCCAGGATATATTTATGGCTGTGGACTCATATCTCTCATCCAACAATCTGCCCTATGAAAACCTGGTAGCATGTTGCCCTGACGGGGCCGCAGCAATGATGGGCAAAAACAAAGAGTTTAACAGCCGCCTTAAGGAAAAAGCCCCAGGGTGCGTGATTTTCCACTGCATGCCACATCGGCAAGCACTGGCAAGTCAAAAACTTTCAGAAGACCTTAGTAACACCCTGTCAACTGTTGTTAAAGTTGTAAACTTTATTAAAGCTAATAAATAAATGCCTGTGCATAAAAGGAACAGCTTGTGTTCGTGATTTAAACTGAAGGGAGTAACAACTACATACTTGTCTGAGACAGCATTCAGTGCCCTTGTGACAATAAAAACAAAAGCCAGAAACAGACTTGATGTCCACCAGGACTTTAGACTGGCTGTCACAACCATCACACCTGACATTGCATTCCTGGTGAAAGGTATGCAAGCCCAAGGTGGCCATTAGTTTGTGAATGAACAAACTGGCACAGAGTAAAAAACATAAGGAATAACTTGTTTATTGTTATTGATGGTTAGTTGTTATTGTAATTATTACACGTACATAAACGTGTATAGCTGTGTCCGAACCTGTGTTGACATGATGTGCATGTGAATATCAACAGACTTCCCCTGTTTAAGTTCATTGTCTGAAGGAGATCTGTGACAGAGCTGTAGATATAGGCCTAGGTGCTGATACATGTCTGAAAGGCTATCTTTATTCCTTATGTAAGAAGGTGTGTGTGTGTGTGTGTGTGTGTGTGTGTCAGCATGGGTACATTACTGTCATTAATTATGTCATTGATGATGTCACTGATGGGCTTACCTGAACAGGTGAGATTCAGGATGTAGGAAGAGGATTCTGATGTTGCACACTCCCTCAGAGAAGATCCAGACTGAACACAGTCAGAGTCGATCCTCCAAATCGGTCTGTATGAAGACTCCTCTCTCTCTACTACAGAAACAGCAGAACCACAGTCCAGATTTCTACAGACAACATTTGCTACCTTCAGGGTCCAGTAGGAGCCCCTCACTGGTCTCCAGTCTCCATTATGTTTCAGCTCCACTGTTCCTGCACAGCGACTGTCTCCTCCCACCAACCTGACCTCCTCAGACTCTGAACAGAAACAAGAGAGTCATCAGTAAAAGAATAAAGTGAGTTTCATCAGAACAGAAATGAACCAATCAGAGCTGCAGCTCCTCTTCTACCTGAGCAGGTGAGTCCAACAGCTTTTCCAGGTGAGCAGGTGTTTCTAGCTGAGCCTGAGCTTCTACAGTCCAGGAGAGCAGACTCATGGCCTCCACACTGGAACTCTTTGGTCCACATTGGAGCCTCCACTTCTCCATAGAGCGCCCCCTGGAGGACTGAAGGAGCCCCACAGCCGAGCTCCCTACAGACCACCTCTGCATCCTGCTGGTCAAAGTCATCTTCACACACTGAGGACCACCACTGGTTAGACTGGTCAGACTTCACCTCCAGTCTGCCTGAGCACAGACTAGTCCCATCCACCAGCCTGACAGAGTCTGGACAGATAATAGAAGATACAATAGAGAGAGAGAAAAGACACCAGACACAAATAAAAAGATATCATCAAACATCATAATATAATGTTATTTTAACATTACACACATTGGCCTTCAAGTGGACATGAAACGTGCATGTTTTGGCACAGGTAGTGTCAAAACATGTTAGAAAAAACACAAAGTATTATTTAAAGGCACACTATGCAAGATTTTTACCTTAATACAACAGCTTCAAAGTCATTACGATGGTAAACAAATTCGTAGTATAGCGAATCATCCCGATAGCGAATCAGGAGAGGGACGCCGTTGGCAGAACCAGCAATGCAAGTCTGAAAGGTGGCGTCCCGCCAAATCTCGCGAGAATCACAAATTGCTTCATGGCGTGACATCACACACATCAGAGACATAAGAAGCAGCCTCAAACGGAGAGGGGGCCAAGATGGCCGTGGCGCAGGATGCTGGGTGCAAAGTTTCTCCGTCAAACAATTTGAGGCTTTGTGAATAGGCAGACAGAATATGTGGTAATATTAACGATTTAATGATAAAAAAGTGACTTTAACACAGTAAAATGTTGGTACCAGAACTATTATTCCGTGGAAAAGGAAAAAAACTGGGAAAACCGAGACGTAAAAGTTTGAACGCAAGCTAGTTAACGTACCAACGTTAACGCCAGAGAAAGAAAGAAGATGACTTCCAATGCTAACGTGAGTGACGCTGAAAAGTCAGTAGAAATGAAGGCACCAGGTGAGGAAAGCATAGAAACTACTCCTGAAGATACAATGGACTCACTTTCGGGCCAGTCCTGTAACACCCTAACGAAACATGTCAACAAGAGGAAGAAACGGGACTCTAACGGTAACGGTAACGGTGTCAGCGCTGACACTGTGGCAGACAGAAACAACGTCTCAACGCATTGAAAAACTCTCTTCTACAGTTGAGCAACTTGTGGTGGATATTAATCACCACAAAGACATTTTGAAACAGACAGTTAGAAATTGAACAACTGAAAAAAGAGAACCGGATTCTGAGAGCAGGAGTTGCTGAAAACAAGCGCTACAGTTACAGATGGACACTGAAACTACACGGAGTAAGAGAGGAGATGAACGAAGACGTGAGAGCAGTGGTGATTAATATCCTGGGAAAAGTTGCCCCGGGACTTCATGAATATCTACAGGACGGTATCGACATTGCGCATCGCCTTGGTCCGAAGAGAAAGGACGGATCCCACCAGTCCCTAATCATCCTCTTCGCACTGTCCCGTATCCGTGATGCTGTTTGGGAGAGTGCCAAGGGCTGCAAGTTTCTGCGGGACAACAAGCTGCGTCTCACCGAGGCACTTTCCCCGGAGGATCGAGTGGCTAGAGGAAAAACTTTGGCCCCTTGTGGAAAAAGCAAGGAAGGAAGGTAAAAAGGCGTCCTTGCTAGGACCTTATGCTCTGATAGAGGGGGAGAAGATTGACCATTTAGACATTGATTGAAGCCTTTTCCTCAGACAAATGAAGAGAAGAGTCATACAGTTTGGTAAGCTTCCTACACACTGCACATCTCCAGGGTGTTTATAAAGAACTATGCAAAAACTTATTGACTATGAACTATTAACTTTGGATGATGACTGATGAAGAAGGCTGTTTCCAAACATTTCACATCTCCAGGGAGGACATAACTATGCATAGACTCATTACTAAGAACTATTAACTTTTGGAGGTGACAGATGAAGATTGCTATGTTTCCAAACTGTCGATATTAAGAGACACCTGGTATTGTGGAAGAAAGTTGTTGTTAAAGAGAGAGAGTGTGGGTCAGGGAGAGATGAGTACAACTATGAAACAAGGCGTTATATCGCTAATTCCAAAACCAGATAAAGACAACTTGTTGATAGAAAACTGGCGACCTATCACTCTCCTTACTATTGATTACAAGATTCTGGCATCAGTTTATGCAACTAGATTAAAAGTGGGTAAGAATTTCTCAACTGGCAGACGATACAACCCTCTTCCTGAAAGACAAAGAACAGTTGGTCAAAGCTATTGATCTAGTTAAACAGTTTTCATTAGCATCAGGCTTGAAACTCAGTTTATCTAAATGTGAATTATTGCCCATACACAATTGTGACGACACTTTCATAGATAATATCCCAGTAAAAACCACAGTCAAGTATTTGGGCATTGATATAACAAAAAATGTAATAGCAAGGCAACAACTGACCTTTTCTGGAAGAATTAAAAAAACTAGAAAATTCCTAAAGCAATTTTGATTGTGCCTTGCTCTGGCCCATATGTTAATACCATGTCTACGTGCTAACCGCTAACCGCTAGCTCTGCGCTAATCGCTAGCTAAGTGCTAACCGCTAATCGCTAGCTAAGTGCTAGCTTTGGTTAATGTGTTTAATTGTATTATGCTCCTGAAGGAGTGCTAATGTAAATTAAGGAACAGCTCATAGTAGGGTAAAATATTTAAGGTGTATTGTTCTTATTTTGAGTTAATATTAAAATCATTCAGCTTTAAATTGTTTGCTTGTTAGCCACCTGCTAATTATCTTTAGCTAGCCAGCTAGCGCTAGCTTATTAATGCCTTGTCATTCTCTGTAGCTAGCTGTGTGTGTGTGTGTGTGTGTGTGTGTGTGTGTGTGTCAGCATGGGTACATTACTGTCATTAATTATGTCATTGATGATGTCACTGATGGGCTTACCTGAACAGGTGAGATTCAGGATGGAGGAAGAGATATCTGATCTTGCACAGTCCCTCAGAGAAGATCCAGACTGAACACAGTCAGACTCGATCCTCCACACAGGTCTGACTGAAGACTCCTTTCTCTTTACTACAGAAACAGCAGAACCACAGTCCAGATTTCTACAGACAACATTTGCTTCCTTCAGGGTCCAGTCTCCGCTCCTCTCTATTACCATATCTAAGCCCCTCACTGGTTTCCAGTCTCCTTTATGTTTCACCTCCAGTGTTCCTGCACAGCGACTGTCTCCTCCCACCAACCTGACCTCCTCAGACTCTGAACAGAAACAAGAGAGTCATCAGTAAAAGAATAAAGTGAGTTTCATCAGAACAGAAATGAACCAATCAGAGCTGCAGCTCCTCTTCTCCGCTGCAGCGGGCCAACAGCACATCCATTTGTACCTATGGCATGAGTTTTGTGGAAGTGTGTTTCGGCGGGTGGCGTTTCGGCTGGGACTTCGTCATGGCCGCCACGTCTCTCTCTCTCTCTCTCTCTTTGCTTCGTACCCCTGCATGCTGGGAGGGGTAGGGGTGCTTTGTCTGTCGAACACGCTTGCCACTGGGGTCCTGTAACAACGCCTGCTCGCCGAGTTCCCTGACCTCACCACGCCCACGTTTTCATTGGCGGTGGCTAAGCATGGCGTGGAGCACTACATCATCACGGTTGGCCCCCCAGTCTAAGCATGAGCCAGGCGCCTCGACTCTGTCAAGCTCGCGATCGCCATGGAGGAGTTCACCACCATGGAGTACATCGGCATCGTGCGCCGTTCCAACAGTCCGTGGGCCTCCCCCCTGCACATGGTGACCAAGGCTGATTGCGGTTGGATTGCCTGAACGCCACCACCCCCGACCAGTACCAAGTGCAGCACATACAGGACTTCTCCGCACACCAAGCTGGCACCACCATCTTTTCGAAGGTGGACCTGGTGCGCGGTTACCACCAGGTGCCCGTCCACCCGCAGGATGTCCCCAAGACAGCAGTCATCACACCCTTTGGCCTTTTCAAATTCCTACGGATGCCTTTCGGCCTCAAGGGTGCAGCACAGATGTTTCAGTGCCTCATGGGCTGGTGCTTCTACTGGGCAGCTTCCAAGTATGAATGTGTAACAGTGGCTTCCTCTCAGTGAACCTTCCCTGAATAAATAAAGCTAAAAAACATTGAATTTAAGTGGTTTTGCCACATAAAGGTACAGAATGCCATGTTGCTCCAGCAGTACCTCATTAGACCAGAGAGCTGTTGCAACAGAGACGAAAGGTGATGAGCGCCCTGTGAAGCCCTGCTGAACGCAGAGGCCAGCTGCATGTAGGCTTGGCAGCGACGAGGGACGCTGATTGGAGACATTGAGGAATTTTCTGGGAACTGATCGGTATGCGAGGACAGCTTGTACCTGACTGTGTTGATCTGGTTTTGTAGGATACTGGTATTGATGCACGGTGAAAATTTCAGAAGTGAAAACATATTGCTGTGATTTGTTTGTTGCTGTTATACTGGCATTGATACACGATGGAAGGTTTAAGGCAACAAAACATACTGTGTGTGTCTGTGTGTGTGTCAACATGGGTGCATTACTGTCATTAATGATGTCGTTGATGATGTCACTGATGGGCTTACCGGAACAGATGAGATTCAGGATGGAGGAAGAGGAATCTGATCTTGCACACTCCCTCAGAGAAGATCCAGACTGAACACAGTTAGAGATGATCCTCCAAACAGGTCTGACTGAAGACTCCTTTCTCTCTACTACAGAAACAGCAGAACCACAGTCCAGATTTCTACAAACAACATTTGCTGCCTTCAGGTTCCAGCCAAAGCCCCTCACTGGTTTCCAGTCTCCATTTTGTTTCACCTCCAGTGTTCCTGCACAGCGACTGTCTCCTCCCACCAACCTGACCTCCTCAGACTCTGAACAGAAACAAGAGAGTCATCAGTAAAAGAATAAAGTGAGTTTCATCAGAACAGAAATGAACCAATCAGAGCTGCAGCTCCTCTTCTACCTGAGCAGGTGAGTCCAACAGCTCCCAATACACTGACACTGAATACACTGGAACACTTGGTATCCATTTTTAAACACTTTCAAACAATAAAACAACATCATCATCTGCAGATTCATCTATTCTGTTCCTTCTGCTCAGGTACTCCACAATCTTTGCTCTCCACACAAAGACGATTCTTTACTTCTCTTTTCTTTCTCTATTTACCTGTTGAGTTGGGTGTTCCTTCAGTCTGCAGTGCTGAGGAGAAAATCAGAAAATACTCATCAGTATGAAGCAGCATTTTGAAAAGAGGACAGTCGATCCAAGTTTCTTGGAGCTCAGAAACAACACATTCACCTGAAAACTCAAGAACACATTAAAACACCTGAATAATCACAAACCAGACACACCTGAAGGCCTTAACAAGGCTAAACTTGTCAACAACTGAACACAATTGGACACACTTGTACACCTGGAGATATCAATCTAACTATATAATCAATCTATTGCCCATGTGCAACTGCTGCTACTATTTGTGTTATCTGTTGTTTGTGGATTCTTACGTTTTTTTTTTCTTGTACATAGTGTTTTTAATTTTTATTTATATTTTCCTACTGGGACTTTATTGCGTTAATTACAAATAATTAATTACAGAAAAAATTACGTGACAAAAAAATAACGCATTTAATCACAATTTATTTTTGCACTCCAAACAGCGCAGAACGTTGCTCGTTGTACAAGTGTGTGCAAATTGTGCAAGAAAGAATTTGCCCATCACCGGAGCACTTCCAGCCTCCGCTACCACCTCAATGCCAAACATGTTGCAGCTAGCACAGACCACGCTCCTAGTTCAAGCAGGCAGTGTGTTGAAGACATAGAAAGTTTACAAAAAGTCCTGAAAAAGCTTGAATATAGCTAACTTGAATTTAAGTTTGTGCCTTGTGAACAATGCAATCATAAAATTCTTAACTCATATTGTACTTTATGTTAACAGTCAGTGATGAAAATGAACACGATTTTGTTGTTTAAGCTCATTTATGTGTCTATTCATTGATTCAGTCATATACCAAAATCCATTTCAATTGAAAAATGTTGCTTCTCGTCTCAAATATTGATATGCTATTAATTGAGATTAATTAATTACAAAGCCTCTAATTAATTAGATTATTATTATTTAATCAAGTCCCACCACTACTAATCATACAATGTTGAGTCCTTGAATATACCTGACCCTAACTCCAGCACAAGGATTTCATTGTTCATTTGTTTTAATGATTTACTATCAGTATACCTGAGAAAAAAGAACATTTGTTGTATTGACTGGAATTTTTATGGTTGTGTTCTATTTTTAAATTGACTGTATTTCATTGTTTTTGTATTCTGTCTTAATATCATCCTATCAATCATCTGTGAATCACTTTGAGCTGCACTAAACTGTATGAATGGTGCTATACTTATAAAGTTAGAGCTCCACAACCTCCAACTTACCAGCTGTTGATGGTCATTTTGGTCGTAGGTAATAATTTATTTATTAATTATTAAGTTCCAAAATAAAAGTTTTGTGTATTTCATGAGACTAACCTAAATTAAAAGTGGTGCCCGAAGAACTTTATAATGAATTTAAATTATACTTATTATTTGATAATTGATCATTTTGATAGGCAAACTTTAATGAATTGCACCAACACAGTAGTTGTCTTTCTTTGTATGGGTCCATTAAAGGTGATGTTGACATCCTGCAGTTAAACTCTCTGAAGTGCATTTCTGTGAAACACTGTCCCTCTGATAAATGTTCATTTGATCAGAATCTGCTGACAGATTACAGATTACAGGACTGTGGTTCCGTTAGCACGCTGAGCTCTTACTATCACATTAATGCTGTCAGCGTCAGGACATGTGACATGTGTTCACTAATTACCTGATATTTATTAGTTCTGATGATTTAGTGAAGTTGACCTTTGACCCCACAGACGCACAAACAAAAACAAAACAAACGTCAATATCTCAGCAACAACTTCCCAGTGACAGTACGCACACACAGCTACACACACCTTCTGACACCACTGAATTATTGCAGAGAGATAATTACTAAAAAACAATCATTGACTAAAAAGTTCATTAAAAACTGGGTTTGATTTGATGAAAATCTGAAGGATTAAAACTTTACTCTGTACAATTTTACACTGTTTTCCTTTTTTTCTTCCTTTCATACATCAATGTGTGTGTGTGTGTGTGTGTGTGTGTGTGTGAGAGAGAGAGAGAGAGAGACACACACTTATTTCACCATCTTTAAAGCAGAGTCCTACCTGAGCTCCACAGCAACAGCAACAGCACCAACAGGTGATCCATGTCCAGGTAGAGCGTCTCTCTGTCCGTCTGTCTGCTGTCTGCTCTGATGTCTCACATGTGCTGTCCTCAGTGTCTGTCTGCGTACAGGAAGAGGTGGAGCTTTACTGGAGTATATCTGACTGACTCTCTGTCTGATAATGGTGCAGTGTCATTATTATTATTATTGTTATTATTATTATTATTATTATTATTATTATTGGATGTTGCAGGGAAAAATGACTAAAAATAGAATCAAAAACTGGTTTTGATTTGATGGAAATCTGATGGATTCAAACTTTACTGAGAACAATTTTACAATGTTTTCCTTTTTGTCTAACTTTGATATTGTGTGTGTGTGGAGGTCATAGACACGTCAGGTCGTATAGAAAATAAAAAGCAATAAATAACAGAAATAAATGAAAACCTTCCTGCAGATGAAATAAAACAGTGGTGGTGGCCTAAAGGTTACAGAAGTGAGTGGAAAGTCATTGGTTCGATCCCCCGGGCAGAGCAGAGCTCTCCTTGCTGCTGCTGTCCACCACGAGCTGGTGACAGCCGCTCCCACAGGAGCTGACAGATGCTTGTCAGGGTGTTGTGTCATTCAGTGCGTCCCATCCTTACAAATGCAAAACTACATGGCAAACTTGGATTGTGACTTTTTGTTTAGTTGAATATAAAAAGTGTGGAAAGTCACTGGGAGAGTTTTGGAAGAACAAAATAATGAACAAAACACAGTGTGTTGTTTTAGGTTCCCTCCGTTCTGCAGCATCCAATCTCTCACTGCTCTGGGATGGAGACTGTTGTATTAAATGCTCTTGTGCTCATGAAGAAGATGTGTATCTATGTGAAGTTGTGAAATCCTAGCAGAGTGTAACTTCCTCATGTTGAGTGCGTCTGTGTAATAATACTGCATGACAACTGTTGCTAAGCCGACGCAGTGAGCGTCAGAGACAAGAAAACACTCAATCTGTCAAAGAAAGAAGCCTATTAAGTCTCTATGATTGGTAAAACATTATTTAAAAAATACCATCATGATTATAATTCTATTAATGTTATTTTCTGTATGTAGGCTAATAGTCCCACCCACTGTTTAACTGCGTACAGGAACCGATCGCTCTATCTGGCTGCCAATCAGCAGATCAATATCTATGGTCTTTCTGAGCAGAATGAGCCGTCACTCTTCCTGTGTGTTGCTATGGTGATCCAAACCACATGTGAGCAGTTTGCTTGTCCGTCTGAATATTTGGCTTTTATTTATTAGTTATGATGATTTAGTGAAGTTGACCTTTGACCCCTGCAGAGTCAGAAAGCTTCGATTAGAGGAAAACCTGAGGAAAAGTGACTCTGAGGAAACATTAAGTTGTTGCACTTTATCAGTTTTCTCCTGTTGAGCAGTGATGGAAGAAGTACTCACATCTTTTACTGCAGTAAAAGTACTAATACCACAGTGTACAAATACTCTGTTACTAGTAAAAGCCCTGTATTTAAAATGTCACTGACAAATATAGTGCTTCCTGTGACTGCTTCACAATAAAAGCACCCTTTAGTTTGTCCAGTTGAAGTGTTTTATTGTGAAGGAGCAGCAGCAGGAAATGTGTTAGCATTAGCAGTTAGCAGTAACTGAATGCAGCAGAGTGAACAGGAAACTGTGAATCTGATTACATGATGGATCGATTCCTGTCATCCTGTCATGAGTCTGAGTCAGTGGAGGACTCGCCCGAACAGTGAAAAGTGCTGCACAGAGAATAATGACTGAATATAAACACATTGATTGGATGTTGCAGAAAAAATAATAACTGACTAAAAATAGAAATAAAACCTGTCTTTGATTTGATGAAAATGTGAAGGATTAAAACTTTACTGTGTACGATCTTACAGTGTTTTCCTTTTTGTCTTACTTTGCATTGATGTGTGTGTGTGTGTGTGTGTGTGTGTGTGTGTGTGTGTGTGTGTGTGTGTGTGTGTGTGTGTGTGAAGAGTTCATTTGCAACAACAGATTAAAGCCATTCTTGAAATGAATCAACCAACAGCAGTTTGATTGATAATCCCTGGATTGCACTCACAAGAATCAAAATGGAGATATCTGTTTTTCTAATGAAGCCTTCGTATGTTACTCCAACATCCAACACAAATATTTCACCATCTTTAAAGCAGAGTCCTACCTGAGCTCCACAGCAACAGCAACAGCACCAACAGGTGATCCACGTCCAGGTAGAGCGTCTCTCTGCCCGTCTGTCTGCTGTCTGCTCTGATGTCTCACATGTGCTGTCCTCAGTGTCTGTCTGCGTACAGGAAGAGGTGGAGCTTTACTGGAGTATATCTGACTGACTCTGTCACAGTAGTTATAAAACAGACACAGTTAGAGTCTTTAACACAAGTGCCTGATAATAATACAGCATTATTATTATTATTATTATTATTATTGACTTAAAGCCCATTATGTAACTTTTCCTCCTCACAATCAGCTTCAGAATCATGCTGATGTTACACTGACTGTAACAGGGTGATGCTTCCTCTGTACTCCTGTTCTTGCACTGTGGAACTTTGGTCTGCGGGTCGGGACGAGTGTGTAACGCTTTACGGCACTAAGGCACACACCACCAACTATGTGACTGATTTTGGTGAAACTGGATCATATTTTATGGAGAAAATGTTTTCTGGTTTTCCCTCTGACGTCCTCCGACTGCTCCGCCCCTCATCCTCATCATCAACTTTCTCTCTGATAGCAGCACCACTGATTTAAACTGATTTAAACTGATTTATACTGATTTAAACTGATTTAAACTGTGTGTGTTTCCTGATGGTTCTCTTTGTTAAATAAAGTTTTAGTCCATTAAAGGTGATGTTGACAGTGTGTGGTCTGCAGTTAACTCTTAAATGGACAATCCTCTATAAATGTTTTGGATAATTAATTATTTACTATTTTCTAATGTATGTAGGCTGAAATTATATAATTATGACCTTTATTTTCCAATTTACAGACTGTATCTCCCGACATACATTGCCCATTGAGGGTATAAATTTAACAGTTGCATAACCCTTTCGGTCCCATCCACTGCCACTTTTTCTAATTGCTAACACACTAAAATGAGATACATAGCACAATTATTTAAACTGACACACAAAGAGCAAAACCTCTTCTCAAGTCTCCAAAACTCTAAACACATTATTCTGCTTCTCTGTCTGTTTCTCTCTCTCTCTCTCTCTCTCTCTCTCTCTCTCTCTCTCTCTCTCACCCCAACTGGTTGAGGTAGACGACCACCCACCTAGAGCCGAAGGATCATTCCTAGGTTTCTGCCTCTTAAAAAGGTTTTTCTTGCCCACGTCGCCAAGGTCTTGCTCATGGTGGTACTGTTGGGTCTCTGTAAATAATGTTATAAGGAGTTCGGTCTAGACCTGCTCTATTTGAAAAGTGTCCTGAGATAACTTCTGTTATGAATTGGTGCTATACAAATAAAATTTAATTGAATTGAATTGTAACATTACACACATTGGTCTTAAACACACAACGTACACTAGGGCAGTTGTTCCAAACTTGGGGTCCGCGGCCCCTCCTGGGGGGCACCAGAGATCGCAGACAGACTTTGTCTGCTGAGGTTGTGAAGTTACCAAAATTATATCTGTGCACATTACATTTTTAAAATCCCAATAACACACCCAACTGGATAATCCAAATTGAAACATATTTTTGGTCCGCATTTAAATTCATTAAGCTATTTATTCCCAACACCCCTGACCTCTGACCTTTGAACTTGCATGAGCGACCTTCTCGTCTCCTCCGGTCAGTTGGCGGGCTAGACTAGACCTTGGTAATTCATCCCTAATTGTTTTCCTGCTGTCAGCATCACTTTATGAATAAAACATCATAAAAAGTAAAAGTACCGATGGTTCATCTGTATCAAAGAAGAAAACAAGGAAATATCTCCAGAGTTACCTTGATTTTGGTTTTATGGAAGGACAGGACAGTGTTTAGCCAGAATGCATTGTTTGTTACAGAAGCCGAAAACATCCATGGATTTTATTTTATTTTTATGCACTGTTGACGACTTATTATCTTGTTATCTGGATATAACAAAGATCGTTTTCTCGTGATAACTAATTAAGTAATGTGTTCGTGCTTGTGCGTTTTATGGAACTGCAAGAAAAACTCAAGGAATTCTTGCAAGATCACAATCGACCACAGTGTGAACAGCTGACTGAAACCTGGACTACAGGACAAACTGTTGCTCCCAGACTGGCCAAACACGCAGTCACAAGGGTTATTTTCCCATTCAGCACTACTGCAGCTGCTGTCAGAGACAGTTATACAGTTTAAGTTCATTTTATACTCTTGAGTCAATAATTAAAATAATTTACGTTTTAATAGATCATATTTCTTTTAGCAGTGGATTTTAAGAGCGTGCACATACACACAGAGAGAGATGTGTATTCAATAGCAGAACTAATGTTGTTATGTTGTAGAGGGGCGGGTCATTATTTAGACGCACTCTACACAGCACATGAGTAACAGACCACCTGACATGTTATTTAGAAGATGACGTTATGAAGATGCTTAATAATGCTATGGAGATTTGGTTGAGACTCGAGGCTTGAAGTTTCCTTTCGTACTCCCCTTGAGTTAACGTGGCCAATGAGGTATGCAGAGTGATGTTTACATTATGTTTACACCTGTTTAAGATGCTGACGGAGTAACGTCATGATTTAATATCACCTGTGTTTCAATTAACGTAAACAACACATGTTGCAAGCAAATCGAGTACATTATAAAAGTAGGGCTGGGACTTTATTGCGTTAATTACGATTAATTAATTAATTAATTTACACTCCAAACAGCTCGAAACGTTGCTCGTTGCACGAGTTCCCGCAAACCCGTAATACTGATGCACAGGACACAACACGCGAAATAGAAACCGATGAGAAGTTGTTGCTGGGTTTGGTGGGCGGAAATTTTAGTTTTAAAAAACTACCGGGTGGAAACCTGGATAAAAACTCAGTTGTGTGCAAATTGTGCAAGAAAGAATTTGCCTATCACCGGAGCACTTCCCGCCTCCGCTACCACCTCAATGCCAAACATGACAGACAACGCTCCTAGTTCGAGCAGGTTTTTTATTTTAATAAACAAAAACAAATGTGTTTAAGACATAGAAAGTTTACAAAAAGTCCTGAAAAAGCTTGAATATAGCTAACTTGAATTTAAGTTTGTGCCTTGTGAACAGTGCAATCATAAAATTCTTTATTCATATTGCACTTTATGTTAACACTCAGTGATGAAAATAAACATGATTTTGTTGTTAAAGCTTGTTTATGTGTCTATTCATTGATTCAGTCATATACCAAAATCCATTTAAATTGAAAAATGTTGCTTCTCGTGTAAAATATTGATATGCTATTAATTGAGATTAATTAATTACAAAGCCTCTAATTAATTAGATTTTTTTTTTTTAATCGAGTCACACCACTATATAAAAGGTATCTTTTATGTTTGTGAGATATTTCTTTGATGTTTATTCTATTTGGAAATACTTTGTATGATATGAAACTCAATTTGTGATTTATATTATTTTAATTGATCTAGTTCTCACGGCCTGACTGACCACCGATGTGCAAATAAATGCCTGTGCATAAAAGGAACAGCTTGTGTTCGTGATTTAAACTGAAGGGAGTAACAACTACATACTTGTCTGAGACAGCATTCAGTGCCCTTGTGACAATAAAAACAAAAGCCAGAAACAGACTTGATGTCCACCAGGACTTTAGACTGGCTGTCACAACCATCACACCTGACAATGCATTCCTGGTGAAAGGTATGCAAGCCCAAGGTGGCCATTAGTTTGTGAATGAACAAACTGGCACAGAATAAAAAACATAAGGAATAACTTGTTTATTGTTATTGATGGTTAGTTGTTATTGTAATTATTACACGTACATAAACGTGTATAGCTGTGTCTGAACCTGTGTTGACATGATGTGCATGTGAATATCAACAGACTTCCCCTGTTTAAGTTCATTGTCTGAAGGAGATCTGTGACAGAGCTGTAGATATAGGCCTAGGTGGTGATACATGTCTGAAAGTCTATCTTTATTCCTTATGTAAGAAGGTGTGTGTGTGTGTGTGTGTGTGTGTGTGTGTGTGTGTATACACCTGATGACACAAAAAGGAGGAAATGTATCTATATGCATTGTAAAGGAGAATAAGAACAAAAACCTACAATTGTTCTTTATTTTTGCAACTAAAAGTTTGTAATTAATCCCTTTTTTAGTGTGTGTATGTGGGTAGGAGGTAGGGGTTGGGGGGGCCTGGCTTGTCTTGGGGGGCTTCAAGGAAAAAAAGGTTGAGAACCACTGCACTAGAGGATGCTGGTCCGTAGAGGCAGGGGAGGTTGTTCCTCCTCTATTGTTGAGAGGAAAGAGGGAAATAAAACTATAAAAAGAGTAACTGGTTGAAATAAATAATGACCAAACAAACAATTATCATTCATGAATTAAGGTTTCTCTCTGCTTTGGAGAAAATCCATCATTCAAATTGTGATTAAAATGCTTCAACAGCGACACCTGCAGGACACCCCTAGTGTTTTTAAGGAAAGTGCAGCTGCTGTTTCAGTGTGGGTATTTACCAATGGTGCTGGGATCATTACTGTCATATTTCCTTTGTAGCAGAGAAATAGAGCTGCTGTGTTTGAACTACTTTGTTGAGGATAACTGCCAGCTGTCTCCGAATACAAAGCACACACTACTTTAAAAAGCCCTGGTGAACCTGGACTTGTGATAACGCATCGTTGGGAATAAAATATTGGAAGTGCAAGTACAGTAAGCTTCGTCTGTCTGATTGGAAATGGGGCCAGCTTTGATTCAAGCAGCAAGTAGTCATCATCAGTCAGCACACTTTCCTTCAGGTGTTGAACACTGGCTGCTTCTTGTTACATCTCACAGCCTTGATAAATACTCTGTCTTCTGCATTAGGCTTGTAGGGTTCATCTGGAAACAACAGCAGTGAATACAATGATGTTGTTTTTAAGAACTCTTGGAAGCCATTGATTTACTGTTTCATTGTTATTGAACAGAAGAAAGTAGAGATAATCTGCCAACTAGTGTAAAATAACACGATGCTGTGGGTTGATTTTCCTCCTGTCCTCCACAATGTTTGAGTCAGCAGCCACTGATGCACACACAGGACCTGGACACATACATTAGTGGACAGATGTCAGAGTGATGAGGCTGCCACACAGTCGCTGCTCCAAGCAGTTAGGGGTTCAGTGCCTTGCTCAAGAGACCTCGGCAGAGCCCAGGAGGTGAACTGGGATCACTACAGGTCTGTGTGTGTGTGTGTGTGTGTGTCTCAACATGGGTACATTACTGTCATTAATTATGTCATTGATGATGTCACTGATGGGCTTACCTGAACAGGTGAGATTCAGGATGGAGGAAGAGATATCTGATCTTGCACAGTCCCTCAGAGAAGATCCAGACTGAACACAGCTACAGTAGATCCACCACACAGGTCTGTCTGAAGACTCCTCTCTCTCTACTACAGAAACAGCAGAACCACAGTCCAGATTTCTACAGACAACATTTGCTTCCTTCAGGTTCCAGCCTGTGCCAATCACTGGTCTCCAGTCTCCCTTATGTTTCAGCTCCAGTGTTCCTGCACAGCGACTGTCTCTTCCCACCAACCTGACCTCCTCAGACTCTGAACAGAAACAAGAGAGTCATCAGTAAAAGAATAAAGTGAGTTTCATCAGAACAGAAATGAACCAATCAGAGCTGCAGCTCCTCTTCTACCTGAGCAGGTGAGTCCAACAGCTCCCAATACACTGACACTGAATACACTGGAACACTTGGTATCCATTTTTAAACACTTTCAAACAATAAAACAACATCATCATCTGCAGATTCATCTATTCTGTTCCTTCTGCTCAGGTACTCCACAATCTTTTCTCTCCACACAAAGACGATTCTTTACTTCTCTTTTCTTTCTCTATTTACCTGTTGAGTTGGGTGTTCCTTCAGTCTGCAGTGCTGAGGAGAAAATCAGAAAATACTCATCAGTATGAAGCAGCATTTTGAAAAGAGGACAGTCAATCCAAGTTTCTTGGAGCTCAAACATATCAGTGAACTCTTTCTGGAGCAGTTTTACCAGTTTACTATAGTTGAGATGAACATGTGAATGAACACGAGTCAGCATACTGGTTTACAGTTTTGATAGGCAAACTTTAATTAATTGCACCAACACAGTAGTTGTCTTTCTTTGTATGGGTCCATTAAAGGTGATGTTGACATCCTGCAGTTAAACTCTCTGAAGTGCATTTCTGTGAAACACTGTCCCTCTGATAAATGTTCATTTGATCAGAATCTGCTGACAGATTACAGATTACAGGACTGTGGTTCCGTTAGCACGCTGAGCTCTTACTATCACATTAATGCTGTCAGTGTCAGGACATGTGACATGTGTTCACTAATTACCTGATATTTATTAGTTCTGATGATTTAGTGAAGTTGACCTTTGACCCCACGGACGCACAAACAAAAACAAAACAAACGTCAATATCTCAGCAACAACTTCCCAGTGACAGTACGCACACACAGCTACACACACCTTCTGACACCACTGAATTAGAGATTCATTAGAGAGAGAGATATATTTCACCATCTTTAAAGCAGAGTCCTACCTGAGCTCCACAGCAACAGCACCAACAGGTGATCCATGTCCAGGTAGAGCGTCTCTCTGCCCGTCTGTCTGCTGTCTGCTCTGAAGCCTTGTTCTTAGTCTTTTTCACCGACCTGGAAAACACTGCAGCCAGTTCTGTTTGTTATAGTGTACCGCGCTCCTTGACTGTACTCTGAATCTGAATTCTCAGAATTTTTATCAAGTTTAGTCCTGAAATCAGGAAGTATTTATTGGAGGTGATTTTAATATCCATGTGGATGTTAAAAATGACAGCCTTAGTAACGCACTTATCTCATTAATAGACTCAATTGGCTTCTGTCAGAGTGTAAATAAACCAACTCATTGTTTTAATCACACTCTTAACCTTGTTCTATCATATACCATTGATATTGAACATTTAATTTACATTGTCTTCCCTCAAAATCCTTTCCTATCTGACCATTATTTAATAACTTTTGAATTCATACTATTAGATTAGAAGCCATTAGGCAAAACTTCCTACGGCAGATGTCTATCTGACAGTGCTGTAACTAAATTTAATTCCATCAGTGTTTAATTCAATGTCTTAATATAACAGAGTCCTATAATAACTTACGAACGAAACAAACGAAATTGATAATCTTGTTGCTAGTGCTGCAGGCTCACTACAATCAACATTAAATTGTATCGCCCCTATAAAAAGGAAATTATTAAAACATAGGAAACTAGCACCGTGGTACAACCACCAAACCCGCCAGTTAAAGCAAATAGCTAAGAAATCTGAAAGGAAATGGCGCTCTTCCAAATTCTTAGAATATCGCTCAATTTGGCAAGATAATCTTAAAACCTATAGAAAGGCCCTCCGTAATGCCAGAGGAGCCTATTACTCAGCACTAATAGAAGAAAATAAGAATAACCCTAGGTTCCTCTTCAGCACTGTAGCCAGGCTGACAGAGAGTCACAGCTCTATTGAGCCACATATCCCCATAAAATTAAGTAGAAATGACTTCATGAGCTTCTTTTATGATAAAATTATTACTATTAGAGACGAAATTAATCACCCTCAACAGGTATCATTGGCTCTCCAAGTTCAGGAACTTTAACTAATGTAAAATCAGATATATATTTAGACTGTTTTTCTGCTATCAATCTTCATCAGTTAACTTCAATAATTTCTACATTGTAGCGATCAACCTGTCTGTTAGACCCGATCCCAACTAGGCTGCTTAAAAAAGTTGTACCCTTAATTGGCACTTCTTTACTGGATATGATCAATCTTTCTTTATTATCAGGATATGTACCACAGTCCTTTTAAAGTAGCTGTAATTAAACCCCTTCTTAAAAAGCCCACTCTTGACCCCGGGATTTTAGCCAACTATAGACCAATCTCTAACCTTCCCTTCCTCTCTAAGATTCTGGAGAAAGTAGTTGCCAAAGAGTTGTGTGACTTTCTACATAACAATAGTTTATTTGAGGATTTTCAGTCAGGATTTAGAGTTCATCACAGCACAGAGACAGCTCTGGTCAAAGTTAATGACCTTTAGATTGCTTCTGACAATGGACTTGTCTCTGTACTTGTATTATTAGATCTTAGTGCTGCATTTGACACCATTGACCATGATATTCGTTTACAGAGACTTGAGCATCAAATTGGCATTAAAAGAACCGCACTAAGCTGCTTTAGGTCATATTTATCAGATCATTCTCAGTATGTACATGTTAATGATGAGTCTTCCATAAATACTACAGTTAGTCATGGAGTTCCACAAGGTTCTTTACTTGGACCAATACTATTTACCTTATATATGCTCCCTTTAGGCAACATTATTAGGAATCACTCCATTAACCTTCATTACTATGCAGATGATACCCAGTTATATCTATCGATCAAGCCTGATGAAATTGATCAATTATCTAAATTATAAACATGTCTTAAGGACAAAATCCTGGAAAAGCTGCAATTTTCTGATGTTAAACTCAGAAAAAAACAAAATTCTTGTACTTGGCCCCAAAAACCTTAGAGACTCACTGTCTAAAGATATAGTTACTCTAGATGGTATTACCTTGGCCTCTAGCACCACTGTCAGGAATCTTGGAGTTATCTTTGATCAGGACATGTCATTTAATTCCCACATAAAGCAGACCTCTAGGACTGCCTTTTTTTTTATCTACATAATATTACAAAAAATAGACACATCCTGTCACAGACAGATGCAGAAAAACTAATCCATGCATTTGTTACTTCAAGGCTGGATTACTGCAACTCTTTATTATCAGGTTGCCCCAATAAGTCCATTAAAACACTCCAATTAATTCAGAACGCTGCAGCACGATTACTGACAGGAACTAGGAAAAGAGATCACATCTCTCCTGTACTAGCTTCTCTGCACTGGCTCCCTGTACAATTTAGAATATAATTTAAAATCCTCCTCCTCACCTATAAAGCTCTTCATGGTCAGGCCCCTTCATATCTTAAAGAGCTCATAGTACCCTATTACCCCTCTAGAACACTGAGTTCTCTGAATGCAGGGCTACTTGTGGTTCCTATAGTCTCAAAGTAGAACAGGAGCCAGAGCCATGGTGGTACTGTTGGGTCTCTGTAAATATTATAAGGAGTTCGGTCTAGACCTGCTCTATTTGAAAAGTGTCTTTAGATAACTTCTGTTATGAATTGGCGCTATACAAATAAAAATTAATGTGATTATTATTGACTTAAAGCCCATTATGTAACTTTTCCTCCTCACAATCAGCTTCAGAATCATGCTGATGTTACACTGACTGTAACAGGGTGATGCTTCCTCTGTACTCCTGTTCTTGCACTGTGGAACTTTGGTCTGCGGGTCGGAACGAGTGTGTAACGCTTTACGGCACTAAGGCACACACCACCAACTATGTGACTGATTTTGGTGAAACTGGATCATATTTTATGGAGAAAATGTTTTCTGGTTTTCCCTCTGACATCCTCCGACTGCTCCGCCCCTCATCCTCATCATCAACTTTCTCTCTGATAGCAGCACCACTGATTTAAACTGATTTAAACTGATTTATACTGATTTAAACTGATTTAAACTGTGTGTGTTTCCTGATGGTTCTCTTTGTTAAATAAAGTTTTAGTCCATTAAAGGTGATGTTGACAGTGTGTGGTCTGCAGTTAACTCTTAAATGGACAATCCTTTATAAATGTTTTGGATAATTAATTATTTACTATTTTCTAATGTATGTAGGCTGAAATTATATAATTATGACCTTTATTTTCCAATTTACAGACTGTATCTCCCGACATACATTGCCCATTGAGGGTATAAATTTAACAGTTGCATAACCCTTTCGGTCCCATCCACTGCCACTTTTTCTAATTGCTAACACACTAAAATGAGATACATAGCACAATTATTTAAACTGACACACAAAGAGCAAAACCTCTTCTCAAGTCTCCAAAACTCTAAACACATTATTCTGCTTCTCTGTCTGTTTCTCTCTCTCTCTCTCTCTCTCTCTCTCTCTCTCTCTCTCTCTCTCTCTCTCTCTCTCTCTCACCCCAACTGGTTGAGGTAGACGACCACCCACCTAGAGCCGAAGGATCATTCCTAGGTTTCTGCCTCTTAAAAAGGTTTTTCTTGCCCACGTCGCCAAGGTCTTGCTCATGGTGGTACTGTTGGGTCTCTGTAAATAATGTTATAAGGAGTTCGGTCTAGACCTGCTCTATTTGAAAAGTGTCCTGAGATAACTTCTGTTATGAATTGGCGCTATACAAATAAAATTGAATTGAATTGAATTGTGGTATTAGTACTTTTACTGCAGTAAAAGATGTGAGTACTTCTTCCATCACTGCTCAACAGGAGAAAACTGATAAAGTGCAACAACTTAATGTTTCCTCAGAGTCACTTTTCCTCAGGTTTTCCTCTAATCGAAGCTTTCTGACTCTGCAGGGGTCAAAGGTCAACTTCACTAAATCATCATAACTAATACAGTTTCTCTCAATTGCTTACACACATTTTCTGAAAGCATGCCTCATACTCTCAGAACTTTACACACAAATCAAAAAACACACACACAATGGGCAAAACCCCTCAATTCTCCCGCAAAATGAAACTTTACATTCAAAACAATGTTATTTCTTCTCAAAATGGTATTTTGTTTTCAAATGACACACAAACCATCATATGAATAGACATTTATAAGAACCAGTTGAACACTGACGTGCTCAATGTAAAACACTATGATGAATGGAAAACACTTCTTCTCCATTCATCATAATGACTTTTGTTCAGTGTTACACTTACTACAGACAGTACATACAGAAGTGTGTTGTAAAATATTTGAGAATATTGTTTTTATACTCAGAACACACAAATACACGGTAACAAATATATTTTGTTTTTCCCACAAAAACAATGTATGCAGTGTACATCCCAACTAGGGTTGGGTATCGGTTGGGTTTGATCCGATACCGGTGCCTACTCGGTATTTTTTAAACGGTTCCGGTGCTTAAATGGTTCTTGAACCGGTACTTAAAAAAACGAAACCACACACACACTTTGTCAAAAAACAATACCCTTTTATTTCCAGGGTCAAATTGAACACAATATTAAGTTAACGACATAGCACACGTTGTCACTCATGCTGTTGAATGGCAACGGTGTTTGCTAGCCTACTTGACATGCATGATTTGCGGTTGGCATTAAATTACTAGATTTACCCGAAGAGGAAAGGCTGATGTCATCATCAACATCTGTGATGTCCACCACCGCACTGGCAGGGCTGGGAGTCTCTTCAATTTGTCCGGCGAGGCCGACACTGGCTGCGGCTGCTGAAGTGCTTGGCCTTGCGTCACGTAGGTTATCAAACACGGTGCATTGTTCGGCTTTAAATAAACTCCATGTGTTGCCAGATGTTTCATCAAATTCGACGTGTTACCTCTCTTGCATGCAATTGTTTTATGGCATCTGTTGCATGTCGCAGAGTCTGCATCCTTAGACGTGAAATGCAGCCAAACCTTGGAGCGTTTTGCCTTCAGCATCTTTATTGATCCTCTCACTATCAGTTCTAATCAACAAGTGTGCTGAGTAGCGGCACTGACGTTGACACCGGA